GTTCATTCACAAAAAAACCTACATCGGTAGTTGCAACAGATCCTTATGCATATTCATGAGAAATTTCGTGGCAATTTGCAAAAATTCGCCATAGGTACCTTGTCAATATTCATAAACCTTGTCAATCCGACTAGCTAGCAAGGCCATTTTGCCCATGCCATAGGTGTACACACAATAGCATGCGCGTGCAACAATTGTAATACGCGATGCTGATTGGATAACTATCTTTAGAGTATGATGTCGCATAAGGTTAGCGCGTGATCACTTCATAAATATTCATTCCTTATGACCTCCCAACGGCTCTCAACAACTGGCGCGCGCGTATGCAATGTGCACACTACGCGCTAATTGGTTTAATCTGTTTTACATTGCGCGTATGCGAATAAGGTCAACTCGTGATAGTTATATGAATATTCATTAATCAGTACCCCCAATGGGCTCTGATTGGCTGTATGTGAATGAAAACAAATACGTCATACCTCATTAGGTTTTGTCCCCTGACGCGTATTAACTTGTTGTAATGTGATAACCAATCAGAAGCAAGCATTTCAGTAGCTTATAACAAAAACTGTCATTTGTCACTGATGACAAGTTTTGTGAAACGCCCCAAGTAGCCTTGTAAATTTAACTTTTCTTTTTCGGAAAGAAATGCCTCCAACCCATCGTAGTCCCTCATCAGTGGCGAGGCTCACTCTATAACGCTTATACGTTTGGAAGTAATTTCTTGACACGATTTAATGCGGCCTATTGTCACCGGAATGATATATAAAAGACAGCATACACATATTTTAGTGCCCTTCTTAGTATGCGAGGAAAATGCTGTATCCATGTATCTGAATATTGAAAAAAATAATCACAAAATTTAATTTGTTGAGCACATCATTATAATTATTCCGTCACCACTATGCCCCCTCTCGTATGTATTTCACTCGAGGAACAAATAGAGGCCCGCAATCATAGTTTAGAATATTGTTGGTCCGCCTGGCAAAATCAATCGCAATTATGTACATAAGAGATATAATCGAGACTGCAAACTTGCTATTAATTGGAGGACTTGCGAATGAGTCGGATCATCATTGTTCAAGTAGGTTTGGGGTTGATTATAAAATGGGCCTATTCCTGTTGATTACATTAAGCAGTTTTCGTTGATATTATATTTTTCGTGATAGGGTCTATAGTCTATTCACCCCGTCTGCTTGTTGTGTTGGATGGGGTAATAGGAAGTAAAGATGCACGTATAGCTGATGTCACAAAGTAATAAGAGCTAATGGCATCCCTAACGTCACTCTTCGTCTCCTCTTTGACGTCAATGGGATATAATAGCGCTCGTTTGCGAGACTCGTCTGAGGAGAATACACACAAAATGTACACTGCTATCTGAGCGCGCGTCGATGCGTCCGCGGCTTCGTGATGGTGAATATGATAAGTGCGCACCATATCTAAACGAAGGATGCGGATTTTTTGTGAACCAAGATGGGGATTTGGATTTCGGCGATAATGACTGGGAAACTTCGAAAAAATGTTCGGCATTTCGATCAACGATGGATTCATATAGGTAGGTCCTAAATTTGACTTTCCATTTCAATGAAGAATGATAATACGATGTATTAGCTGTAGAAATTTGGATTTAAATTAATTATTGTAGTCCCGCGTGTTCAAATTTGTGTAGGCCTAGTTTGTCTCATTAAGTTTTCAGTCTCGCCCCATTTGTTGCTGTCCCAATTACTAACACTAAGAAAGAGGCAAATAAAGCTAGTACAGTTTTTAGGCCTGTAGTCGTTCTTGTGAAATAAGTAAATCTCTTACTAAGTTTGTTTTCTATTCCTTCAATTCTATTATAAACGACTGATGCGAAACTGAAAGAATAACGTTAAAAAAACCCTTTTCTGCAAAACCGGGGTGGGGGGGGGGGGGGGATTTGGACGAATGGTCACGTTCCAGTCAACGCGACGACTCCCCACCAACCTTTTGGCACAACTGACGCGATGCTACCCACCCTTTCGGCATAATCCTAATGATAGAGGTGTGTTGAAGTTAAGTGGAGAAGTTATTAGCTGGTCTGTGAAGCATATAATTGTGGAGTGCCAGGCAGCAATGCCGCAGTTTACAAGAACCCATTATGATTATTATCTATCTTTTTCTTGTCGTTATTATGATGTTCTTGTTATCATAATGAATGCTTTTATTTTTATTATTATTATTATTACTCACTGTTACTGTTACTATAATCGTATATTTCCTACTGGATTCGAAATATATTCATACTGGATTTGAAATTGCTATTGTTGATTTTGAAAGCTGTCCGTTTGATTGCACTTCAATAGCTGATATTGAAGTGCAATTAAACGGATAGCTGGAGACTGTGGATCGGGAGCTAGCGGATGGGGGGGGAGCTGACGGGAAATGAAATATCATATTATGAAACATTTTAATTTATGACGCATGTTATTTATTCATACGACTGTGCCGGTAAATTGTTAACTTAACTTTTTCAATCGTTAAGAGTTCATTTTACTGTAGAAGTGTTGCGTAATTATATCACGTATTTATAATTATGAAATCTGAATGTAAATGTATTTATTACTGTTATTTTTCTGCAAATCCAACCATCTGTGGATCGGGAGCTAGCGGATGGGGGGGGGGGGGTGTTTGACGAGAAATACTATATTATATTATGAGACATTTTAATTTATGACGCATGCTAAATGTAGGCAATAGGAAATTGAGGGGCATATGCACACTATAAACAGTTATCCATATTTATGTACATAGTTTTCTATTGTTAAATGTTATATTGTATTTTCTATCATTTGTATTTTCACTGTTAAAAAAGCCATTGGAAGCAAAATTTCTATGTAATGTTTGCATGCATGGACCAATAAAATAATCTTGAATCTTGAATCTTGAATCTTGAACTATTATTATAAATCTCACTCCTAGATCCTAATCAAATGAGTGGTCACGTGGGATTGATTTACTCTTTCATGAAAGTGTTATCCAACAATTTTTTGGTGCATGTTTTCACTCACTCATTATATGATCTATCTGCCCTTGTTGAGGCTGTGTGCATCTATCGCACTCGGCCTAATGGCTTCATGCGATAGATGCACACAGCCTCAACTAAGGTGCCGAAAGATCGTATAATAAATGAACTCATGTGCATGCATCATTTGTAGGCCTATACTAATAACTGGCACTAAATAGTGCCGTATAACTTTTAAAGGGATCGGTAACTTTGCCTCAGATTCTGAAACAAAATCCTAGATTTAGCTCATGCTGCAATTATAATTATAAACCTGTAGGTCAGTCAGGAACCCCATGACTTTTCTGACTATCAAGATATTTATGATTGGAAATCGAAACCAAATTTTGTGTTTGCCAAACGGTTTTCATAACACTACAGTTTATTGTGGAAATCGAGTATGGTAAAACCGGTCACTCAAAGATTTTTACCTTTTTGAGGCATTTCTTGATCATTTTGAAGCGCGATTTTTTTAGGGCTTCAATATTACTCCATATCACAGACACTGATAACACTTAGGGCAGTACATCTCAGATTTAACATTGTTAAACGATCCCTTTAAAATCATGCTAAATTTTAATCTTGTTTGTATTCTTTTTATTGCAGTTATAGATTGACCCATGATCTGAGTTTGGACAGCTTTCAAAGCGATGACATATTTAGTTACGAGAATACAGGGCGGTCTTCTCCCACAGGTTCAGTCTTCAGTAACGATTCATTCACATTATGCAGTAAGTCCGACCCCTTCTGTGCCTTCAAGTTTTCAGCAATTGTCATCAATAATAATAATACATTATATTGAAAAAGCACTTCATACTAATGTTTCTAAGCGCAAGAAAAAGAAGAAAGGAAACGGAAGGAAAGGGAGAGACATACCAAACAAAGTAGAAACATGTTAAAAAATATTGAATTACAAGCAAATGGCAAAGAAGAATATGACATTAAACAAAATAATGACTGCATCAGTATTAATCAAAATTATAGATAAATAAGAATTATAATATACAATGTGAAACATGCACATGCAACTTACAATAACCTTGTCTATATTATTATATCAAATATTAAATATTTTATTAACGACTCATGAATGAACTTTTAAAGAGTGATATATGGATTTTTAAGAGGTAGTTTGATTAATTAAATTGGTATGAATACATTTATATGACATGGGAGTAGAGAAGGAAATATCTAAAATTATAAAAATATTGTCTTCCCAAACTCCCCTTGTTCTTAAAAGTAATACAAAGTTTTGGGAAATTTTGAAAATTGGGGGGATAGTGATTCTTTACAATTTTGATATCTTTGGAAACCCATGAGGGTGTATTATAAGCACTAGAAAACGTAGCCCCTAAAACAATTCTGCTTTCGAGACAAATTGAATATAAAAAATTTACCGGTGCTCCCGGTAAATTTTGATAAATTTCAAATAGCGCCTACAGCCGTACAATGCGACCAGGAAAATTTCAGAATATGTAGTCGTGATATATAATTTCCAACCGGGAATAGCTAATCGGTCGATTTTAGTCCAGAAACATTGTTTTAAAGCTTAATTAATGTCTAGACCTTGAGAGGGAGCTATACAAAATAAAGGGTTCATTATTTACAATTTCATAACTTCAGACTCGATTTCAACTGCGACAACGATCACTGAATATTGTAGGATCGCATATGCTTCCAATATTATCATTTGACCCAAATTGATGACCCCATACCAAAACTTTGTAATACCTTTAAGAAACATTACTTCACTAGTCTAAGAGACAGCGCCTTGTATCCTTTGGATAAAGCGCTATATAAATGCAATTATCATTAATATTATTATTATTATTAAACTTTGGAACTTTCCTTGTATATTTGGACCACTTTAAGAACTATTACTACATCCACTCTATCCCTCTCCTTTATCAAACCCTTGTCTCGTTTTGCTCCTCGCCTAGATAAGCCAAGGAGGATAGGCTCCACATCCAGCTCTAAAGATGGCTCCCAAGCAGAAAAGCTTCGAGAGGACATGATAGAGCTCGAGCTCTCCGAGGGGGCAGATCTTACCCCCTGGAGGGGGGCGTGGTGGAGGACTCCGGGGATGAGGCGCAGAAGCTACTCTCCATCCTGGATGAAGGAAGAAAGGGCAGGAAAACAGAGGAAAAGGAAAAGGAAGAGTGTAAAGACGGGGAGAAGGGGAGGGGATCACCCAGTAAAACGAAGGAAAGTTCAAGAAGAAGGAAAGCAAGTTCCAAGGTGAGAAATGAAAGCAACTTTAGTTAATGGAAATAATGAGAGGTAGTAGTGATCATTATGAAGCTAATGATGATGTAGAGACTACCTCTTTTCCACATTTTTAATGTCTTTATAACTTTCTTGTTATTCTTCCGTGTTCTACTACAACATTTCTATTTAACGTTTTAAACCAATTTTCGGGACGGAAAGCAGTTTAAATAAAAAACAAATCTTTAAATGTGAATAATTTGAAAAGTGGTTTTCCAGTCGCTTGCGCGCTAACGCCCTTCTGCTACCCGGCCGACGAAATGTATTGTTTTCATGTCAGTGAAAAGAAATTGATAAATCTTGAATCTTGAGGTGTTGAGGTCTAGTGGATACGTCACCAGACTGTGGATCACATGGTTCATGATTCGAGTCCTGCCACGGCACTCTTGTCCTTTTTTGGCAAGACATTAATCTACATTTGCCACTTCCCTTCCAGGTCTTACATGGGTACCCGGTAGGATGCAAACATTAATTGGATTGCCATTTTAAAATGAGACCTGGCCGGAATAATCTCCTGGAAGCACATGTGCTGATATACTATTTTAAAAACGATGACTGTGGTAATAATAAGTTCACTGTAAAACGTTTAGAAAAGTAGTATTAAGCACTACATAAATGTGAATATTATTATTATTGCTAATGATGATAATATTAATGAAAGTAAATAATACAAGGATTCATTTTGATTTTAGGAATAGAGGACGACAGAGGAGCTGTAGAAATTCAAAACCGAAAAACAAGATGCTTTTAAATTCAATTTTAAACCACTTCATTACTAGAAAAGCAACCCATAGCCTAGCTATAGATGGTGTATAGACTTCAATTCTCTTTAGCACAACAGGTTTAAATCACTTCCTCATATTATTGTATTAATAGTTTTTTTTTTATCGGGCACATTTTACTTACTGGCTTTGGTCGAGTCAGAATGACAACCAGTATAACATTCAAGGAGTTTGGATGAGGTAGCACAAAGGTGAACACGTAATATATATGAGCAAACCCTATTTTCCTTTTCTTTGCATGGGCAGGAAAACGATCACAATTCAGGTCAAAGGTCAGGGGAGCGTAGGAGAAAATCAAGAAGAAAAGGAAGGAAGTTACCGCAGATGCCAACTCAAGCATCAGGTTGGTCATTTATCATCTCCTTTTAAAGTGTAGATTTGAAAATTATTGTAATTTTTTTACACTTGTCGATCATATTACAATGACTAGTAAGATGAATTTTTATTGTCACATATCTTTCTTACCGGTATTCTTAATTGGTTTTTGCTCAAACTTTCACTGATCTATTTCTCTCATTTATCTGCTTCTATTGAGAACAACTTAAAGTCAGGGTGGACTTCCACCTTAAGACCCACTGAATGCTTACTGCCTTCAATTTATTTTCCTTTATCAAAGTTCAACTTTTGTTTCATTTACTTCATATTTGTCTGTTGATTTCCTTTGGACTTCTGGCTCAAGTATTTAATTGAAATCATTTTGTAGTCACCTTGAGCATCTTTAGAGATGGATATTTGCACTTGATAAATATTGTCATAAAATACTATCATTGATATCATACAGCCAACCTCCAATCCGAATTACTTGCCGCCGAACAAAGGCCCCTTGCCTCGCCCACCGACGAATCACAATCACCAACAGACAACTGCCAGCCCCAGTCATCTCCCTCACCGATAACATCACCTGAGACACCCGTCAAAGGTAAAATGAAACCAGCGAATCTACCTCTAAAATGTAAAGGGATGTTATCCTCTCTTGTAAACCTTGCTGTGCAACCAAGCTTTAACAAGAATATAGGATTTTTTTTTAAATTTTCCACTTTTCGTTGTTTATCTTGGTATGAATATTGCCCGAGGAGTTTTAACTTGCTAAACAAGGAATCTGTACAATTCTGAGTAGGGAGAAATGCTTTTATTTGTCTAAAATAGAAACATTTTCAAAATTGTGATAGCTCAAACCACCTGCAGCACCGGAATGTTTACACTGTTCCGCCTTACTCGTGGGACCCGTTTCACAAAGCCTTTTTTCAATGACAAATTACAAAAATGAGTGACAAATCTGCTGATAACCAATCAGAAGCAAGGATTTCAGTAGCTTATAACAAAAATTGTCATTTGTCACCGATGATAAGTTTTGTGGAATAGGGCCCTGTTCGAACATGAGGTGGTAAAGGATGAAAAAAATAAACACATTTTAAATAAAAGATTTTTGTTAAAAAAATAGGAATTGTACTGCTTGCCTTGTCCTTTAAAGGATGTCTCAGAGAAGATGGAAACTGATTTCAGTCGAAAAGCCCCATGCATATTCTGCAGGTACACACGTAATTGCTTGTACATGAAGAAGTAGATCCGAACGCAATGCAAAAGCTTCAGAATTTGAGATATATACACTTCCTTCCTTTAAATCATTGTTTTCCTCTTCTCAGCTGTACCACAATCATCGTCTCAACCTACACGGCCCAACCAACTCAGCCTCTCAGCCGCCACCCTCCACCGCACCTCCGCCCCCTTACCGGACCCTGTCTTACCCCACGAGGACGTGCCGCGCCCCATTGTGGATTCCATCGCGCCCCACTTCACCCCTTTCCTCTCCAACACAAACCTCCTCCTCCAGGAGGACTCCAGCCCGGAGAGCATCCGGAAGAAGAAGACGTTCTCCATCAGACGAGCGCCTCAATTCCGCAGACCACCACCACCTCCAAAGGAGGAGGATCACTCTGGTGAGATATTACCTCTTGACCTTTGGTGTGACCTCTTGACCTCTGATGTGACTTGACCTTTTCTTTTAAGTTGACTATCTTAAGACATTCTCCATCAGACAAGCGCCTCAATTCCGGAGACCACCACTGCCTTCAGAGGAGGAGGATCCCTCTGGTGAGATATTACCTATTGACCTTTGATATGACCAGTTGACCTTTGGTGTGACCTCTTGACCTCTGATGAGACATGACCTTTTCTTTGAAGTTGACTATCTTAGTTTACAAAACAGACAAACCAACAAACAAACCAGCCAACCAATCAATCAATCAAAATCCTACGTTTTTGTTATCATTTTTTGTGTGTAGATGATGAAAAGCCGTGCTTCCAGCCTGTCACGTTGGTGATCGACGGAGAACTCAAGGTTCAATCCCACAAGGCCCTTTATCGCTTCTTCCCTCGCCATGACGACGAACTCCTCCTGGACAAGGATGACGCTGTGTACGTAGAGGTCAAAGGTGATGACCTTTGGTATGAAGGGATCAACCTGAGGACCGGAGACGAGGGATGTTTCCCCAGCAGATATGTGAGGGATTATACATTGGAAGTAGATGGTGAACCTGGTAAGTATTAGATAGTAGATCCTTTAATCAGAAGTATAAATATTAGCGTATATATCATACTTATGCTCTTAATTAATGTCTTTTTGGGGTCTTTGTACATCATAAGCTTATTCAACATTATTTTGTATAATATTGATCATTTCATATTTTGCTTTATGAATTGTTTGATTTCTTAATGCTTATGATATTAGTAAAGCACCAAGTGCTATATAAATGTTGATTTTTATTATTATAAGTTCATTTGAGCTGTGAATGCACAATGTCGAGAACAGTTTAGAACCATAGCATGTAGGTTTGGTAGCTGAATTTTAAAAATTAAGCCAGGGGAGTGTTTCACAAAGACCGAGATTGACTTTAAGTTGGACTTAATTATGGCAGTCCGTCCATGCCACTATTTGCTCTCACCATTGTGATCGTTAGATAATATTGTTTCCTTCAATAATGAACTATAAAAAATTAGATTTGCATCCATGATTTGAACAACCCTTTGAGGGATCGATGCCAGTAAATGGTGAGAGAAAACGGGCATGAACAGCCTGCCATAGTTAAGTCGAACTTAAAATCAATCTTATTGTTTGTGAAACACTCTCCTACTCTAACAAACTAAAGCAACAGTTTGTTACATTTATTACTTCTTTCTTTTGTTTCATTACGCAGGTGCACCAATCAAAAGAGTTCATATAAGCAGGTTCAGGCTCCAGTTTCTAGGTTCGGTTGAAACGCCCTTTCACCGTGGCAATGAGGTTCTATGCAGGGCCATGCAGAAGGTCGTGATGGCCAGGAGGATGACCCCTGAACTTCGACCTCCGACAAAATGCATTCTAGAAATCAGCGACAATGGGGTCCGAATGATCGACCAGTCAAAGCCCCTTAAACCGGAGGAGGTGATTATAGTTAATATAAAAATATCATACTAATATGCACTGTAAGATAGAGTAAGAAAGAATGGTTGATAGAGTAACATAAGAAGAGCGAGGTATGCTCAACATACTTTCTCTCGTTAACATTGGAAAGTATTTTTGAAAAGAAATGTCTCAAGACACACCTTAAAGTTGTCAACAGTACCACAGTTTTTGTTATTTACTGGTACTAAGTTTATTCCAAAGTTTGGCCGATGCAACCTAAAAAGAGCGAGACATGTAGAATTTAGTATTTGATTGTGGAATGGTGAGGAGAGACTTATGGGAAGATCTGAGGGTTCTGTTTGGAACATATTGGGTAAGTAATTATGTCAAATAAGTAAGAACCAATCCTTTGAGGTACTTAAAGGTACTATGTCCCATTTGCAGGCCAAAAAAATGAAAAGGTTACCGGTAAATTCCAACGGCATTTGAAAGATTATATCTTCAAAATGTCTTTAACTGGGAAAATAAGGACTATTAGTTGTCAAATCGACATAGGAGCTATAGAGCCAATAAGTAATTGTCTGATTTTCAGACCATTGTACTGAATGGTCGTACGTTTTATGCTGCGCAAAGATTCAATCAGTTTAATTTTGGCCATCTTGTGGGGTATCTTTGGGTATCTTTAAAGGTTAAAACAAGAATCTTGAACTCAATTCTAGCACGGACAGGTAACCAATGTAGTAACTAGAGCCCTTGTATAAGGCATTAAAGCCGTCGGTTCCCTGGTGGCTTACTTACAAGCATTCATATTGCTTTCTTAGCAGTCAGGTAAAAATGAGCAAACAAACGATTTCTGTTTTTCTTCCACTCTTTCACAGAAGAAGGATTCTGTGCGGAAGAAGGTGGAGAAGTTCCTGGGTGGCAAACAGAAAGAACACAACTACTACTTCTCACTCAAGAATATATCATACTGTGGCTTCCACCCTCAAAGCTCAAAGTAAGACATCTCATTATTCTTGCCCCTCATTATTCTTGCCCCAAAGCCTTCAGGATCGCTCCTGTATTAAAGCCCCATGACACTACTTATAGCTACTTGCGCCCTCAATAGGGGCAACAATGTCTATAAATCGGTGCCTGTTGGTCCCCCATGATCCCCTTTTTCTTATGTTAATTGAGAGCTGATTTGATGAGATAACCACCTGTCAGTGACCTTGCAGGGAGGTATAATCCCCCCTGGTCAAACTAGTGCAGACAGGCTTTAAAGCTTTTTCTGAATCAGAATTCAAAGCTTAACTTTAGGCATACGAGTAAACAAATTGTAAACGTACCATTTGGTGGTAATAACTATTTTTGACTTATTTTCAATTCCTTAAATTGTCACATATTCATGAAGCATATTTTTGTTTTTCCATATTGAATATTCAAATTGAACTGCTGTGAGCAGATCCAGCTATAGATCTCAAGGAGTACTTAGTGTTTGGGGGCAATTGCTCAAACTTATATTCTCTCAAGCCTTGTTCAGTTTTGACTTGGTAAACCAACTCAAAACTGATGGCGGTTTTTTCACTTCACATGTGAACAAGGCTTTCTGCTAGTTGATTTCCCCGCCTTTATAATATGGGTATGTCACTTAGGGGTACGTTCAAGCGACACTTTTTCACCCTAGAAACAGGGTTGCGTTCAAGCGATTTCAAAGCAATTCTTTTGTCGGTCGTAAAAATAAACATGTTTAAAAACGCTATCATGAAACGCTGAAAAAGATGTGTTTTGTATCGTGATTCTGCAGAATCATGGTCGCTAAAAATTACTTGAACGAACAGAGATCTCAATCATGATTCTATAACGTCATTATCGTGGCCTGCTTCTGGTTTGACCAACAGTCGAGCGTAAACATAGACAGAAAGCACGCGGCAAAGTTGACCTATACCCGGACATATACTTCCTGGGTCAAACTGCACAGTGTGATGAGTAGTGGTTGGGCTTGAAATGAGCGAGAATCAGCGTTGATGAAAAATCGCTTGAACGCTCTCCTGCAGTAACTGTGTTTTTTAACGGCATTTTGATTTGTGATTCATGTTTGTGATTCTAGCTTCAAAACATCGCTTGAACGCACCCCTAGTTTTTTTTTAATTGTAACCTTGGTTTTTCCTCTCTCAGATACTTTGGATTCATCACCAAACATCCCAACGACCGACGCTTTGCTTGTCATGTGTTCATAACAGAGAATGCGCAGAGTGGGAAACCACTGGCTGAGGCCATGGGGTAAGTATGACCGGAAGCAAAACATCTTTTAAGCATGTCGGTGTTCACGGTTAAAGGTAAAGACCAGTTCTGGTCATGCGATTGCATTGTGAAAGAAACGTTGTGGAATCAATTAGAAAAGGTTGATCATGTAGCATATAAGTATTGGTGTGTACTGGTTTGACTGTACCATGATACTAGTTATCAGGACACCAACGGATGAATATACATGTATCCTGGACTTGCCTGTTTCACATATTCCTTGTTCATTTACATTCTCATATAATAAAATATCCATGGATTCAGTCCATCCGGTTAGACCCCAAGCTTCCTTCCAAACCATCTTTCATTTTCAGAACAAGCTAGTACAAGGAGTTGGTAGGGTTTGGCTCTATTAGCCTTTGAGATGTATAATTTGTTTTGAATATATAATATTTAACAATGCAAGCTTATTTGAGTAACTACCACATGTATTGCTTTACTACTGTTTAAAGATAAAGACCAGTTATGGTCATACGATTGCATTGTGAAAGAAACGTTGTGGAATCGATCAGAAAAGGTTGATCATGTAGCATATAAGCATTGGTGTGTACTGCAAGGTTCTGGAATCATCAAAATGATAAGAAATACGGCCCAGTCTTGGTAAAGTTACAAGCACTGTACCCACAAAGATGTATATGGGATTATGCGACACGTGCGCGGTATCTATCCAGTCTGGATAGATATAATAGTTTACCAAATATATCAATTAGTAGGCGGTTTCCCGGCAAAATTTGTATCATCACGTATTAGTCAAAACATATTCTTTCACATGATTGGTAATAAGAGCTACCATTTCATTTTTTGAGAGGGGTTTTTCCGAAACTGGTCTATACCTTTATTTCAGGGTTCTCAGCGTTGCTTGATGTCAGAGGAAACCTTGAAAATGAGTCCCTTTTTTTGCAGTTGACGGAAAAGTCGGGAATTGAGAAAGATCACTAATATCAGGGAAATTTTGGGAAATTCATTGTCCTAAAGAGCAAGTAGTCACGTCTCTTTAATATTTTGTCTCATGTCCCAACATATTAACAGGATAATTGGCTATTCTGGGTTGGATACTCATCATTACAGTCAAACCTGTCGTGGTGGCCACCTCTTTATTAAGGCCACCTGGCTATAATGGCCATATATTTTTGTCTCCCTCGAGAAAGAAATGTGTACTGTAGAACCTGTCTACAGTGGCCACTTTCTCTGCTTGGGTGGCCTTTATAGACAGGTTTGACTGTTCTGCATTGTCAAAGTCACATACGCTCAATCCAGTGACTACCGGGGGGGAGGGGGGGGGGTGTTTCGCAAAGACTTGGATTGACTTTAAATTGGACTAAACTATGGCAGACCGTTCATGCCAGCGTTTGCTCTTACCATTTACTGGCATTGGTCTCTCAAGGGACGTACAAATCGTGGTCACAAATTTATAGAATTGTAGGCAAAGGCTTAAAATTGTTTTAATAAAGGTTCAAGAAGAAAGCTATCATTCTTATATCTGTTTCTTTTCTTTTCTTTTTTCTTTTTTCTTAAAGTGCTGCTTTTAAACGGTTCTACGCCGAGTTCCTAGACTACACCAATCCTACCGAAGACATCTATTTAGAATGAGAACCACGTAGTAGGAACTCTACAGACGATTCCTAAACTACACCAACACCAAGGCACTGAGCTGAATAGCGGCATAGTGGTAGGCAGTACCTAAAATAAAACCTGTGATGTATTCTATAGTGCTGTTGTCGACACCAATTCTGCAAAAGTTTGGCCAGTAGGGATTAGACCACCCAGCATTTTCAGTGACGGGTGGTTATCTCATCAATCAGCTCTCAATTAACATAAGAAAAAGGGGATCATGGGGGACCAGCGGTCACTGATTAGGCATTGTTTGCTATATAGAGGGCACAAGTAGCTATAAGTAGTGCAGTGAGTCTTTAAAAGATAGAATCGATGTGACAAATGTGTTTGTTGCAGGATTCTATAGAAATTGGATATTTAAGACAAAGTATTGAAAAGAAACAGGGTGAATAATTCTGTAGTATGAATTTCCAGAATGTGTGTACCATCTGATTGACTAGATTGTACAAAGAGGCTTGCTCATGATCAGGCTTACACAGGGTTTGGTAAGTGTCATTCAGACTTGAGGCGATAAACCGCTTTAAAAACATCTGCGTAGCTAAATGATATGGGATGAGTACAGTGGTATAACATTTCTATGTCTCATAACACAAACATCAGTGAGAAAGTTAGACAAAGGATCATTGTTGCATGCAGCATTTTTTCTTCCTCTTCCTACAAAATGTTGCTTTGTGCTGTTCATTTGCACGCAAAGTTTTGCTATGGCAGTTCTTTAAGGTGGTTTACTGCTTTAGGTCTGAAAGGAGCTGAATTGTATTTGGAGAAATGGTACAAATAGATGCTCAAATAATATTAACATAGCAATATAGTTTCTATAATGGCATTATAACACATTCATCAAACTATGTGTATGAACAGTATGCTGTGTTTTTAGAGTTAAGTTTCAATCTAAATGTATTAAAATATTCATCTCATTTTACTTGTTCACAACTCACTAAGGGCGGTTCCATGCAATGTGTCGTGTGAGACATATATGACATTTATCCAATTATTTCATTGAATAATGAAAATTTCTTGACGTGAACATAGACTATTGCTTCTTTCTAGTATCACTAATGTTTATTCATTGCTCAGGTCAAGGTATCTTTTCATTTTAGGACGAAATATATCGAAAAATTACATACCCAGTACATGTCATGTGACATGCCTTACGAGATACGTTGCACTGAATCGCCCTTAAACTTTTTTGCTTGAAATACAGGTGCTTTCTTTTCACAACTATATTGTATAGGACATTTTTTTTTATAGTCAGTATCTATTTATGTTTGCTGTGTGATATTATATTTATAATGTTGTGATAGATTTTTAGATATATTTATTTATTGCTTTTTCTTTAGCCTTTATGTTGTGGTGCTTTGTACAATATCTTGAAGTGGTACTGCTCCGTTATTGTTTTTATAAAAAATATATAAATTGCTTAAATTCATAGCTGCTAACCATTCCAAGTTAGGAGGAACTATTCCTGTTTATTAATTTGTTTACCTTCAGACTAATGTATGTATAAAAAGTATACAAAATCGAATGCATTCCTACTTTTACCTTGAAACGTTCTTCATTTTTCTCTGAGAAGTTGGCAGGTATGAAAAATAGCATTTTATTCCTCCAATGCCAGGGTAATATAGTACAGCACTTAGAAGCAGTATAAAACCACTAGATTTGTTGTACGGTGGATATTACCCTTTCAACTTAAGATGGTTTTCAAAGGGGTCCAAATATATCTTATTATATTCCACATACTAAGAATCTTGCTCTACGTTTGGTCAAAAGTAAATCACGTGATGAAAGATAAATTGCCCATTATTGAAGGGAGAAACAAAAAGTTTGTTACACTGTGTAGATAGTACTACTATCTACACAGTGCAACGCACTTTCATTGAAGATAGAGGTACTATCTACAAAGGGCAACGCACTTTCACTGAAGATTATCCAAACGCGCACTAAAACATGCGTAATTAAGCGCGCATTACCAATGAGCGCAAATAAAGAAAACACATGCGCGCACCGTACCCTCAAGGGGTTGGGTTAAACTTAAAATTTTTTGTTGTGAATTTGGGCCTAGGTGTCTTTTAAGTAGATGCATACACATCTTTTTCTTTTTGTAATTAAATTGTTTTAGATGTGGAATATAAAGCAAATAATCACCTTTTGGTTTTTAGGCGATGGCAAACTATCACTTCCTCGTCGATCAGAATATATACGCTATCTTTCCTCAGCTTCGCTTCGGAAAGATAGCTACATCCAGATCGCCTCGGAAGTGATATTTTGTCCCATCACCTTCACCAACGGTAATTATTTGCTTACTATTATTATTACTATCACTATCATCGATTCACCATCAACAATCACTGTCAAGTTGTATTTTATTACATTCAGTTATTAACATTCACCTTGGTTTCATCTCATGTGCAATATGGTATCAAACCAAAAATAGACAACTCGGATCATCATTTCTACATGTAAAAAGTGAAAAGATTCACCTTCATTGACTGGAGAATCAGAATTGTAAATCATACAATGATAATAATAAAGTCAATTTTATATGGTGCATAATAATGTATTCTCTATGCGCTTTACAACAATCAATTATACAGTTTATTACATGATTAATCTAAATATTTAAATATGCATGAATTAACAGAAATACATATTATACAATGATGAAAAAACAAAAATCAGATATAATGATGTAAACTTATGAACACAAATATAATAGTTGAATAATAATTATCTTATTACACTAAGGAAATGACAATCATGAAATAGGATGAGATCTATTTGACCAGTAGTAACAAGTTGTATTCAAGATATTAGAGCTATTCAAGTACCTGTTTGGTCAAGTATTTAAATAGATGAAATTATGTGGGTTCCAAGATTCCAAGATAGATAGTAATTGTAAATAACCAATATTTACCATTGTTTGTTCTGGATCATATTTATCTATCTATTGTGTGTGTGTGCTTATATACCGTAGTCTTTTATTTCATAGTACTTACATTATGATTATATAGAACTTTCCGTCCAATATTATTGTGTTCATTCCAAAATATGTAGCTGAGTATGGTAGCTTAGCGAAATATGGTAGCACAAAAAAAACGCAACCGGAATGCAAGATGCATAAATTATAAAGCCTGTCTGTACTAGTTTGACCAGGAGGGATAAAACCACCCTGCAAGGTCACTAACAGGTGGCTATCTCATAAACTCGGCTCTCAATTAACATAAGAAAAAGATGATCATGGGGGACCAATGGTCATCGCTTAGGCATTATTTTCTATATAGAGGGAGCAAGTAGCTTCAAGTAGTACAGTGGGGCTTTAAGAGATCATAATCCATGTGACTTAGAGGTAGAATTTGATCGACTAAATATTTTTTTAAAACCGTTATTCAGATTTGTCAAATCAACATCTTTGTCGGTCCCTCAAACATCAATAGAGCGTTTTCGCAAATACGACAGGATAATTACGGGGATAAAGCTCTTCCGTCGTGTTCAGGAAACGAACGCTATAATGGCCGCGTACTGTCGTGAAAATCAACAGGACAGAGACAATTATGGTTCGCGCATGCGCAGATGTTTCTTCGCTCGCGTTACCATCGTCTTTGCCTTCCGTTGTCTTTGCGATAGTGTGCTGATGATGTGTTATGACTGTTGCGTTCAGGACGCATCTTTTTGTGTCACTGCATTTCGCTATAAAGCTACCTAAGCATTATTTTATCACCTTGTTAAGTTTGAAACAGTATGCATGAGTTGAATTCCACCTCTTAACTTTAGCCAAAGGAAATGATTTTAACAGTACTTAAATTTATGTGGACATGGCTTTAAACATTTCCCCAAAGTCTATTCTGCTGCAAATTTAATAACATGTTATATTGCTTCAGAATTTCTTCAAAACATAAACCTTGAATCTTTTTTATCAACTCTTGATTCGCTATGGACTGAAACCCAGGACTATCACATTTTTTGGCATACATTAAACATGTACACTGTATGTGTGAGAAAAGTTGACCATGGCAATCCACTATATGTTCCATTGGTCGAGCAAAGCGACTCGAGAGTTGGAAAAGAAGCGATGGTCTTACCAAAACCAATTTGGGGAAATGTTATTTATTAGTTATTTATTTCTCATTGGTCATTGTGTAACACAACTCTGTTATTGTTTATTATGCTCAAATCCATGCCAAAAGTTTGTTTTAAACAGTAGTAAAGACTAAAGAACTACTTGAGGTAGATACTCAAATATGTTTGCATTGTTGTTAAATGATATTATTATTTTTAAATCATACATCTCAAAGACTAACTCAGTAACTGCTTAAGTAATTATTTTCAAATGCGAGTCAAACACTTGTTTTAAACAGTAGTAAAGCAATACATGTGGTAGTTACTCATAATAAGCTTGCATCGTCAAAATTATATATTCAAAACAAATTATACATCTCAAAGGCTAATGGAGCCAAACCCTACCAACTCCTTGTACCAGCTTGTTTTGAAAATGAAAGATGGTTTGGAAGGAAACTTGGGGTCTCAACTGATGGATGGAATTCATGGATATTTTTTTATATGAGAATGTAAATGAACAAGGAATATGTGTAACAGGCAAGTCCAGGGGGCTGTTTCACAAAGATTCTAAGTCAAACTTAACTCAAAGTTGGACTTAAATATTATAGAGAGCCATTTGTAGTCTGAAATATATTTTTAAGTATTTTAGACTTTTCATAAATTCCACATCTAGAACATGTAATCTCCCATGATTATAAAAAATATGAATGATTTGAATCAACATTTGATGCCATTTAAAATGAATGTTAAAAAATATTTTCATAGATACTAACGGCTTTCCATAATACACCAGTTTACGGTTATGTGCGCCATTTTAAACAAAGCCAATGACCTAGAGGTCATGTATTTACGCGTAAATTAAGGTTGCGCCCATGCAAATTATGATGATATCACTGCCTACGGGCAGCGTTTTGCGCGCACATCATCATTTGCATGGGCGCAATCTTAATTTACGCATAAATACCACTGACCTCGGGTCATTGGCTTTGTTTCAGGGCCAATGACCCGAGGTCAACTGTCTGCGCATGCGCACTGATACAACCGTAAACCGGTGTATTGTTAAGTCCAACTTAGAGTTAAGTTCGACTTAGGATCTTTGTGAAACACCCACTGGTATTGTGCATGGTAGATACACCATCAGCTGGCCCTCTACAGTCAAGATGCACACAAACATTACTGCGGAATGTCCTTTAAAACAATCATCAAATAAGTCTAAGACATCCATGGCCCCGTCCTTTAAAAAGCTACAATTGATTTGAATCAATTGCAACTCTTTATAATACAGGGCCCTGGTTGGTCATTTATGGGACGAAACACCCAGGGACCCATTTCACAAAGCTGTTTTTCAATGACAAATTACAAAATTCAGTGACAAATTTGCTGATAACCAATCAGAAGCAAGGATTTCAGTTGCTTATAACACAAATTGTCATTTGTCACTGATGACAAGTTTTGTGAAACGCCCCCCTGGACTTGCCTGGAATCCTTCAATGACACTGCCTATTTGTGATATTAAGAGTAAATTATGAATGTCTTTCTTGTGCTATTTTATTGCATAAAAGTTATACCTGAATGTACTTAATTATCAAAACTCTTTGCATGACAGAGAATGAAATATATATTAAATAGTAAGACAGTAAATAAATAGAATAAAATTAAGGAGTAATGGTAAATGAATTACTGATGTGTATTATCGAAACTCTTTGCATTACAGTGAATGAAATGTATATTAAAAAGCATGACAGTAAATAAATAGAATACAATTAAGGAGTAATGGTAAATTAAATACTGATGTGTATTTATGATGTTCTAATGTTAGGCAAGTCTATGTGTAGGTTATCAGCATGAAAATGTATTTTACAAGTACATGTACTTTACTATTGCTAGTAGTGTAATGTCTGAATTAACCAACTTTTAATCATATTGCCTGCATGAGTGTAAACGTGCGATGACAATCATCAATTTTGAATTTTAATTTTAGGTACATTATTGTCTAGAAATGTCATTATACATGTATAATATATTAAACATCATGATATAGTACGGATTCCTAAATTGAAGATGTTAGAGGATTTATTGTTTGAAACCTTAAGCCTGGTCACAAATGCCATTACGAACGCCGTACGACAATTTTTAGACAATGGAAATTCAGGAAGACAATGAAAAAAACGGAGATTCGTACGAAATAATCGTTCGAAACCTTTGTGACCGTAGCTTTACTGACCCAAACATAGAATGGCAAACAATTACAATTTTGGTCAAAAATATTTGAATTTATTGTGCATTTTTAGTTGAAAAGCAGTGTTTTGTCAGTAAATTCTTTACAAAGTGAGAAGAAATTGTTATCAATATAGTATCATAACAATATCATTCACCAGAAATAATCATTGATGAAAATGTAATAATTGTACTATTTGATAATAGAGGATTTATGTAGAGGATTATGCACAAGATTAAAGCACATTTAGTGACAATCAAATCAGTTGGAAATCATGTACTAGATCCTTAAAATATTAATTGTTATCATGCCACAGGGCTAATCCCTATCGTGCCAAGCCCCAAATCCCCCAGTGCCAAGTTTATTTTGAGATAATCTGATTAACGCGATGGTTCTATGAATAGCGCGTGCGAAACACACAGCACAGTCAGTGAGCATGAACAATAACTGCTATTACGAATGCATGCATGCATGCACAAGGCAGCGAAGCAATGGTTTGCTCGCATGTACAAAGCACTTTAACAGTAGCATGCGTGCAGCCTTGTGGTAGGCTATGAGTTAAAAGTAGCTTTATATGAATTCCTGTTATTATTTAATATCTTTCAGCCTTTGACATATGCTCCGATAACGTCGGCTCACCTCAATATCAGTGCGATCCGTTTGCAAATTCTATTTCATATCCTATTCTGCGTGAAACTATATTTTTGGTTAAAACTATATTTTATGTAATCTGTTAATCCTAATGATATTGCTATTCTACAATCTGCTGTACTAAAAAATTGTGTGGCCTGTGCGATTCGTTTGCAAATTCTATTTTATATCATATTCTGTGTGAAACTATATTTTGTGTTAAACTATATTTTATGTAATCTGTTAATCCTAACGATATTGCTATTCTATAATCTGCTGTACTAAAAAATTGTGTGGCCTGTGTGTGCATTATAAAAGCTAAAAAAAACTGCTCTCAGCACTGTTTATTTTTGTGGTGTTAAAATCATGTATTTTAATCCTTGTATAATAAGCAAAAGGATGTGTAAATATTAAATCGACGATTGTAACATATTGGTAAGGGATTGGAGATTAAAGCTCATGAATGATAGTATGGGCTGATGGAGATTATGAAAGTTCAGAATTTATGAGGTAAGACATTGACAGTTACTAGTGTATTTCTGGTCTGTATATGTATATACATGTTAACATTGGAACATATCATGTATCAGAATTAAATTAAACAATCAGTGCTCAAAATAATTAGTTTTATTCTGTTTCATTCCTTTGTTTGTGTGTACTTTCCTTGTTGTGTTTAAAAAAAAAAAAATCCTGTTTCTTGGCAGCACACAATGGATCATTCTAATGTTTCTATTTTTGTTCACTCCCTCTCTTCTCCCTCTCTCTCTCTCTCTCTCTCTTCTATATTTTCTTCTCCCTCGCTCTTGTCTTCTCTCTCTCTCTCTCTCTCTCTCTCTCTATCTTCTCTTCTCCCTCGCTCTTCTTGTCTCTCTCTCTCTCTATCTCTCCCTCTCTATCTATCTTCTCTTCTCCCTCGCTCTTCTTATCTCTCTCTCTCTCTCTCCCTCTCTATCTTCTCTTCTCCCTCGCTCTTCTTATCTCTCTCTCTCTCTCTCTCTCTCTCTCTCTTCTATCTTCTTTTCTCCCTCTCGCTCTCTTTTTCTCACCTGCTCACTTATATTAATTTTCCCATTTTCCCATTTTTTCCTTTCCTTACATCTTTTCCCTTAATCTTTTTGGGGATGAATATTCATTGCATATTACTTTCTAACATATTACTTTCCCAACATTGATAACATTTTTTTTACAGAATATATTCCATCATTTAATTGTTTAAAATATCACATTATACAAACATAAATTGCCATTGCGTTGCACAAACCTTGTTCATCTAATTTATTATGGTTGCTTATTCCTCATAAATTTAGAAAATACAAATTAGAAACTCCTCTACTCAAAGCAAGCAGTTTGGTTCGATTATCCCATGATCTATTTGCATTTGCCCAGTGTTTATCTCAGTAACTATGGTTACTGAGATAAACATCGGGTATTCTTTGGTATTGTTTTCCTCCAAATTGTGTTGCAATGTTCTATTAACCACAGTCTCACTTTCGACATGATTTTGATTCAAAGAAACTCAAAAATTTGCAAGAGAGAACAAAACGTAGTTCATAAACAATAATATAGATCGTTAACAACAAAAAAGAAGAACGGGAGTAAAGAGAAATGCCCGAAAATTGCTTACCTACAAAACGAATTTGGGACTGATGTCGGACCTCTTAATTGACCAAAATGGGATCCCCCAACAAAACAACGATTATAAACCCTTAAAAAAAAAACTTGTTGTGTTTTTCTTTCTCAAAAGAAACGGCCCATAGCCCCCTCCCCCGAATCTCCATTTGCGCATTTTATTTATAAACTGAGGGCAACAAAATGTATTACTTTTTTGTTTACATTCTCCAGGGCACGAAACCTTGCGAATGGTAATTTTTAAAAAAAAACTTACAAAATTTGGAATGTAATAGTAAAAGATGAAGGGGAAAAAAGATGTCTTCTTATAATAAATAACGATCTGCAAATGACATTCTCTGATTACAGATGGAAGCTCGCAGGATTATAAAGTATAAACCATGATCATCAAACATCTAGTTCCAATGAATCAATATCACCACTTATGCACAAAGTCTTTATAATATAATATATATATATTTGGTTGTTGTTGCTTGGAACACATTTCGTTTGTAAAACATGATGATTGCATCTCTTCATAAATACAGTCCTACACAGAGCTATCTGTACACAGAGTTTGGCCAACTTGGTTTCACTGGGTCACAACATAGCGTATATTCTGTTATTTTGTGCTTGCCCAACAAAGCAGTAGTCGTCATATTGTATCCAACTCTGTGTATAGATAGCTCCGGTCCTACATATATTTTGGCAGTGACAATTTTGTGTAGGCGGACAGGCAGTGAGTTGCAATATTGCGCACTTCCTTTAAGGCAGTTAGGTGGATAAGAATGATGTTTGTCGTTTTTTAATAATTACTCTAAATTTTCCTCAACCCAACGCTATTATGTATAACATTATAATGCAAAACATTAGTATTAGCATTATTATTAATACTCCTCTTTTCTTTTCTCTCTCTCTCTCTCTCTCTCTCTCTCTCTCCCTCTCTCTCTCTGTACTTCCTCATACACTTGGCAGAAACACAGGATCATCATTATGATACCACATTTCGTTATATGTATTCACATTTTATATCTACACGAGTACTTGGAAGTAATATATAGTACTTAAAAATACTAGTATTAGAGCAGTACACTTAACACTTAACTTCACTTCAAAGTACACAAAGGGTCAAAGTTCATGAGGTACTATTTGGCGCCAAACGGAAGTGGACTTGAATTTTCATTGGCTAGTAGATGGTTGTCATGGGGATGGGAGTAGTGACGTTCCCTGATACAACCTCTTCTGGTACAAACAATATTCCTGCAGGAGATAGAAAAATGATGAATGAGAAGGTGTTACTTTTTGACAAATTGGAAAGTTTGATAGAGGATCTTTCTATAATATTCTCTTTCATTGTTTTATTTATTTATTTTTCGTTTGTTTATATTTTTGTGTTTAGGGTAGGACTAGGATTGTAGGGGTGCTACTTAGCTGTACGTAATATATTTATTTCTACATGAATGTTGTTGTTGTTTTTTGTCCTATTTATGTCGTTGCTAGTTTGCTTGCTTGTGGAAGAATTCAATCTACAGAGACTCCCATCTCCGCCCCCCCCCCCCCCCGTCCCCGTCCCCGTCCCCGTCCCCTCCTCCTCAATTCCAAATTATCTAGTGACACTGGTAATTATTGTCTCTTTTTAATTCCAATATTGAATACTGAACATACCTGCTATACAAGCTGTCATGAAGCAGGCAGTTGTCCCTGCTATTAATGCCCTGATTACCACGGCTGCTAGGTCGGGTTTCCTGCTGGGTGCTAGGGGCGCTAACCCTCCCAGCTGAACACCTATTGATGAAATGTTGGCGAAACCGCAGAGGGCGTATGTTGCGATGACCTCAGACCGTTCCTGTAGAAGATATCAACAGGACAAATTGTTACACGTTACAACCAGGAGGGGGGGATACACGGGGGCTCGGGGCGAATTAGCCCCCGAAAGTCATAAAAAGAGCCCCCAAAATTGGCATAGAGTTCAATGCAAAACAAATTAAAGAGTGTTGTTTTCATGCAAGCAAGCTTGAAAAGTAGCCCCCGAAATATTTTGTTTAATAATTTTCCCTGCTGGGAAGTGTCGTAACCACGTTGTCCTGGGGGTGGGAGAGGGAGAACTTGAAGGAACGTGCCCCATTCAATTGAGGGTAAAAAAGGGAGTATGTATGAAAGAGAAATAAAGAAAAGAGGACATTTCATTTGTTATGTAAAGCGCTTAGAAACTGTATTTGTATACCAGCGCTTTACAAATCTTAGATATTATATCATTACTATTATTAAAGGGAGAAAGGGTGAAAAGATCATTAAAACTAACCGTTCCGATCCCTTCCTTAACTCACTAACCCCCTCCCCCTAATCAAAAGCCTTAGTAATCCACTTTTCATCCGTTAGCATGATTTTTTTTTTTTTTTAAATTTATATAAAAAATTACAAAAAAACAAAGGTGGGGTTTTCCTCAAAAATGCACACATAAAACAAAAAATGAAGTTTTATTACCCCCCCCCCCCTCCCTGCATATGCGTATAGCTATGGGCGTAACTACATCACAGGCATGATATCCCTTCGCTCAAACATCAATTTAAGTTTCCAGTTTCAATATTATAAAAATTTAAAAAATATAGGAAATATGAATCACCACTTTATGCCTTTTAAAATAACTATTACAAAATATTTCCAAAGATACTAACGGCTTTCCATAATATTGAAGTCCAACTTAGAGATAAGTTCAACTTAAGATCTCTGTGACCCCCCCCCCCCCCCCCCCCCCCCCCCCCCCCAGGATGGTGAGAAGGATCTATCCGGCTATCCGGTCTTACCGATAGCGTTGGTCCGGCACCGGTCTCCCTGTTGTCAATAAACGTAGCAAGTTTATCGTAAGCAACGAACTCGTTGACGAACGTCTTGATGCCGATGAGTTCGGCGACGAGCCGGCAGTCGGCCCACTCGACACCCATGATGAAAGCAACTGGCATGAAGACGTATGAGCAGATCAACTGAGAGAGAGAGAGAGGGAGAGAGTGCGCTTTCATTAATGATATAATTTAACGTTATGATTATGCCATATTGAGAAATAAAATAATTGATTGATGTAATTTTGTATCCGCGCTCACTCCAAACAAACTTTTTACACCTCAACCGATAGGGATCTCAGCAAAATGTATTTATGCGGCCCGTTACCCGGGGCAACGGCAACCTTAAAAAAAAACTATTGACCGGTAGGCGAGCATGCGGGCATCTTTAAAAAAGCTATTGACCGGTAGGCGGGCATGGCTAAAATCACGATTCCAATTTCGACCAATCAGATGACTAGATTTATTCAACATACTAAAGAGAGGTATATGATTTTTGTTAAATTTAAAAATAATGTTTAATTCATTTATTTACTTATGTATTTATTTATTTATTCATTATTATTTATAAATTATCATCATTCATTTAAATTACATTTACTCACTTCAAAGGTAAGTTCAGGATATCCCACTAAACCTCCGAAATAGCTGAGAAGTGCATTGACCAGAGCGAGAAGGGAGATGAAGGCGACGAGGTTGGCAGCAATGTTGAGTACTAGAGGAATAGCAGTAGATGCCCCGGATGCCGCGGCTTCTATAAAGTTTCTCTCGGTCCTGTAAAAGGTGATATCATCATTGACAGTTGTTATAAAGCGGATGCAAATTGTGGGTTCAAAAAACATAAGGGGGGGGGGAATACTTCTTATTGATTATTAATCCCTTTTCTCGAGCAGGACTTCATGACGATTCCATAAGCACTTGAGACACGTGCTCCCCCCCCCCCCCCCCCCCCCCCCAGCCACCAATTTATTTCTTCAGTATTAATATTTTCTTATGTCTGTTTGGTTGTTTGTTGTGACTGTGTGTATGTTTGTTTTTCGGGGGTTTCCATTGTGCTCTCTCTCTCTCTCTCTCTCTCTCACACTCTCTCTTCTCTCTCGCTCTCTCTCTCTCTCTCTCTCTTTCTCCCTCCCAACGGGAGTTAATTCTGCAGTGCTTCAACCCCCCGACCTATCCCATTTTGTTGTTGTAAATACCTGCAAGTTAACATATATATCTCACCCTTTCTCAATGACCAAGTTGTCTGAATTCGCCGTCTTGGATTTTTCAGTCTCCGGATAGAAGAGCTTTGACACCGCCAGAGCTGCAGGCGCGGACATGACCGAGGCGGAGACCAGATGAGCCGCGCTTATACCGCTCAGTACGTACGCACCCAGTACGCTACCGGCGATGGTCGCGAAGCCTCCGGTCATGACCGCGTGTATTTCTGACCGCGTCATGTCTTTCAAGAACGGCCGAATGAGCAATGGTGCTTCGGTCTGAATATGAAAAGGAAATTTTTGCGGTTTCATGAGAATGTTGATAATGAATGACAATATGATATCGGAAATAGCAGTTGTCGAAAATATCCACTGCTACCCCAAAAGTTGAAATAAAGTTCGTTTTAACTTTTTTCATACAATGAGTGTGATAATATGATTTATTCTCGATAGAGAAAGGTCATTATTATCTTTTCAGAACTTTACTCATCAAAAAACTATGATTAATATTGTCACAGTCATTTCATGAAAAGAAGTGGGCAACATTATCGTTTAGTAGCAGTTTATATTACAAAACCACCACCACAACAAAAGAGTATAACACCCAAAGTCAATCGAGCGAACAGAACGGGTCGATGAACTCGAATGATTTTGTGTCCGAAAATCATGACTGATGATCCTTGTCAAAAACCACAAGCGTAGAGACCTCGGCCTCAGAATTACAGTCATGTGAACACCACTGTCACCGTTGCACAGAAGGACAGGGGCGTATCCCGAAATATATGAACATGGGGAGGGGTAGGCCAAATTTTACCTAGACCATACCGGCGGGGCAAGGAAGGAATGGAACTGGGTTGCAGCACTAATGGGCCTTAGAAGAAAGCCCAAACAAAGGTTGTAGGCTTTGACTTTAGGGGTTCCTCTCTTCAAATTGTTTTTAATCACCCATGCGTGAAATATGCATCATTATGAGTTGCATCAAATGAAAGAGGAGGATCTCAGAGCTTTACAAATTATGTGTCATTAATTAATTATAATTGTGATTAAGTTATGATAAAACATCGATAATTATACGTCTCGTTTTTTTTCTGGGACGCACTATACCAGAACGGCATATTAGTATTTGTTTGTATGTTTGATTGTTTCACCTGATTGCTAAGAAAGCACGAGTATGCTTGTAAAGCAATTAGGGGACCGACGAATTTACGTCTTCTCTGAGGGACTTGGTAATGAGGATTTAAGCCTTACCAAAGAGCACGAGCGCATTGACCTGGTTTCGAACCCAGAGGACTTCCCGGTTACAACTGATTTAATAGCAATTTCTTAACAATGCAAAATCTGAGATGCATGGCCATACGTGTTATCAGCGTCTGTGATATGATGTAATATTGAGACCCTAAAAAATTACACTTCAAAATGATCATGAATTGCCTCAAGAAAGTAAAAATATTTAAGTGACCGGTTTTACCATACTCATTTTTCATAATAAGATGTAGTGTAATACCGTTTGAAAAACGCTTTTTGAAAGTTCGAATTCCAATCATAAATATCTTGACAATCAGATGAGCAATCGGTTTGTAAACGTCATGGGGTTCCTAACTGACCTAAAGGTTTATAATTATGATTGCAGCATGAGATAAATCCAGGATTTTGTTTCAGGATCTGAGACAAAGATACCCAATCCATCTAAGTGTTTACCTGTCCGATGAAGATGTTACCAGCGGCGTTGAGCGACTCCGAGGCGGAGGTCTTCATCGTTCGCTGCATCACCCATGCCAGCTTCCTGATCACGAACTGCATGGCGCCGATGTAGTAGAGGATCGAGATGGCACTGCTGAAGTAGATGATGATCGGTAGAACCTGATCATAAGGAATGGATGAAGGAAAGGAAGTTTGTAAAGACGTTGTTGATTATCAATTTTAGTGCCCATTTTTTGGCTTCCAAAATGTTTCTTCCAATAAAATGTCATGATGGGAGGGATTGTCGAGGGTACATTGTACTCACTTACTGTCCCTTCCCCCTCTCTTTCTCTCTTTCTCTTCCTCTATCGTTCTCTCTCTCTCTCTCTCTCTCTCTCCATCTTTCTCTCTCTTTCTCCCTTTCCCCCTCTCTCTCTCTCTCTCTCCTATCTTTTTTCTCCCTCTCTTTCTCTCCATCTGTCTTTCTCTCTCTCTCTCTCTCTCTCTCTCTCTCTTTCTCTCTCTCTCTTTCTGTCTTTCTTTCTTTCTTTCCCTTTGTCGTTTAAAATATTGAAATTAAATCAAACAAACTAACTAATTCAACTTACAGCAAAAGCAAAATAATGTTCGTTGTAATTCTCTCCGAAGAGGAATAAGGAGCCGGCCCTTGAGAAGCCAAGGAAGGCCTGGACCACGTTACCGATCCACTGGAAGAGTACGTAGCCGGGGTAGGTCCGCAGGATCAGGATCCCAAAGATGAATTGCAGGACCAGGCCCCAAATCACAGGCCTCCATTTTACCTAATTAAGTATAGGGCATTCAAAGAAAACAAGAGCAAGAAGCCACTATTATCATAATTATTATTGCAATTACTAAAATGTTTAAACGATAGATTAATGTTAAATTCAAGACTTCTTTTGAAAACAACATAAAGTAATCAGTAATCAGGTTATTGACCAACACTTTGGGACTGCTCTATTTGTGAAGGAAAAGTCGTAATATTGTAGTGATAAGTCAAGATTTTGTTAATAAATGCCATAATTAATTAAAGCAGTTTTATCGCGCATCTAGATTGGCACGGATTTCTCGTTCATTTTTGTTCAGCATCTTCTTGTGTTCATCACATTTCTAAATTAAATTTTGTTTGATATTTGTCCCTTACATTACATCATAGACGTACAGACTTTTTTAGGGAGGGAGGGGGGGGGGGGGCTGACGACTCGTTCTTTTCCCAGTTTCCAAACACACCAACTTCTTTCGGTTTCCTAAATTTGGCGAATAAATGGGAGTTTTCACCCTCGGTGCTGATGCTGACATCCACTATTGGTGCTCTGTGTAGTCATTTGTATTGCTTTTTAAGGAGTCATACTCTTTCTAGATACTTATAGAGAAGACAAGCATCACTTTGTCAACTGCATTCGGTAATAAATTGCCCAATGGGAAGGTAAGTACACTGTTGCCTATAAACAGAAAAAGTTTCAATAATATTTTGTTATCTCTCTTCATGAAATGATTGTGACAATAATGGTTTATTTGTGATAGATAAAGTTTGTGATCTCAGGACTTAATTGATCAAACTCTAAGGAAACAACTTTTCCTACATCATGTAGTATCTAGATGGGCATGGCTGGTATTTAAAGTGGGCAAGAAAAATTATGACGGAAGCTTGTCTGCATCAAATTTCCATTAAAGGCCCACTGCACTATTTGTAGCTACTTGCGCCCTCTATATAAAAAAATGCCTAATCGGTGACCATTGGTCCCCCATGATCCTCTTTTTCTTATGTTAACTGAGAGCTGAGGTGATGAGATAACCACCTGTCCAGTGACCTTGCAGGGCGGTCTAATCCCTCCTGTAAACTAGTACTGATAAGCTTTAAGGTTTACTTATTCATTTCGCTGGTGTCTTACCTTCTCTGGATACTTGGAGAAGACATACAGGAGGACAGTGAAGATGACGAGACCGCCGAAAGACACCAGTTGGATGGGATTTTCCCGTGTTAAGAAGAAGAGGATGACGCCGAACCCTACAACTGCTAGGACCGCCAGAATCCTGCAAAAATCATTCAAGAAAGGTCAATTTCACTGTTATCACCACCCTTTTTTGCCCTTTTACAATCACATTTTTATTTTAGAAGGTCCCTTTGTTCTAAGCCCTAGAGACTTCGGTAGTAAGCGCTTTATAAGTAACGTTTTTTTTTTATTCATTTTTTTATAAGTTGCCACGGGCCATTGTTCTATCCTCTTCTAGTTTTCCTTTTCAAAAGTTTTGTTTCCATCATATCATTTTTATTTTATTAATTTAATTTTATGTCATAACTTTTTTGTTAAATGTCATTCATTCCAATACCGTTCATTGTTCATGTCATTTCAAAGGTATCTTAGGGCAAAAAAATCTTAAACTCTTCTTACGTGACAACAAATTATAACAGTAGTCTAGGTGAACACCCTCTCCCCCCCCCCCCCCCCCCAGGGATGTTTAGATATTATATCGGCATATTTAACACTCTTTCAGCAGATTAAAAACGGTGTAAACATATGAATATGTGAGTTGTTTTGGGGGCTTTTTTGCTTTTAGGGTCGAAACATACTTTTCATCACCCCCCCCCCCCCCCCTTCACTCTCTCTCTCTCTCTCTCACTACGTCCGAAAATTAGGAAGCTGCATGGCTACGCCAATGACCAAAAAATGTCATCTAAAACAAATTTGATGTCAATAAATTACCACTTTGTCTTCTCTACTCCTCGGACTGCCATCTGCCACATAGGGTAGAGGCATTTCTCGAAGATGACGTCACCCTTCGTATTCCTGACGAGGGCGTACGTGGCGCCCAAGGCCGCGAGTGAGGTAAAGATGAGAACGACGAAAGCCTCTTCGAAGTCGTAGATGCACGCGTAGATGAGGTAGGCGGCGAAGAGAAGCAGAAAGACCGTTTTGATGACGTTGACGATGACGGTTTTGTTCTTTGTGAGTTCGAGAGAGACCTTATCGGTGACCCGGTAAATATGCTGTGGGAAGGAATCATGGAACAAACAAAGCGATCAGTTTTGAAATCGTATTTTCGTATTGTTGTTATCACTGATGTTGTCGTTAATGTTGTTTGTTTTGACGATGATGATGGTGGTGATTAAACAAGGCGATCACAAAGGAAGAACGTGTTTATCGCTACAAGTAGAAGTTCAACATTGGAAATGAAAACTACGAGATGAATAAGAGTATTTTGAAGCAAAACGTAAGCCAAAACGAAAATGACAACATAATTCCCTTTCTCTATATTTGTTTATTGGAATGAACATTTTAAGATCCGCCTGCCAATTACATCATGTAGAAACTAACGTAAAGCTTAACTGAAAGAATGATTATTATAACCGATAAACCTCATGAGTACATGTATTTTACTCCTTTAGAAACAACTACTACCTTTTAATAGGAGCTTGAAATTTAGAAAGGTAGAGCGAGGGTGTGGCGGGTGTAGGGTGAAGTTTAAAGTTGGTTGATGGATTGGCAAGAGGTAAGAACGTAGAAAGGGTTAGATCGTCATGGCAGTTCCGATCTGTAATGTTGGTTGATTGGTAGGTTCGGTTGGGTCCTCGATTGGTTGGTTGGGCTGTCTGATCGGCGGGTTGGGCGTTGGCGAACTTTAAGGCTGGGTTGACGGATTGGTGGTAGTTGATTGGTAGGTGATTACGGATCGGTAGATGATTGATGATTGGTAGTTGATTAAGGACAGGCTATGAAGCCTCGGATCTGTCCTCCAAAACACATCAAAATAGTCTGGTCACACTTCTGTACTGCGATGTTAGTTGAACGCCACCACCCGATGTGCAAAACCTGTTAGAAATACAGTCCCGTACCGTGCACCCCTCCCCTCTAAGCTACTTTCCTTACTATGCCTTCAAATGATTGTATCCTTTCAAAATACCAAAGAGTGACAGTTTCCGTGGGGGTGTTTCATCAACTAAAATTGATTTCGATTTCTTAAAACTGATACTTGTGAACTATTTTATCAAATCGATTTTATTTATTACATGAAACCGCTCCTCAAATCAAAATCAATTATAGGCCCTTAAAATCGATCGGATCGATTTTGTGATCGATTAAGGGTTTAGTGACATACCCCCATGATCTGCTTGATGATTATACTAATGAAAACTATGTTACGACATCAGGAATGTTGGTCAACAGCGACGATTTAACACCAAACGTATAATATTAATAATATTAGATATTGATATAGCGCACATATCCACTATGCATGGTGCTCAAGGCGCTCCAACTATTACCCCGGCTATATAGGCAGCCGATTTCGGCGCTCGCAGCATTCAAGGAATTCTTTCCTACCGGTACCCATTTAACACCTGGGTGGAGAGTGGCAAATGTAGATGAATATCTTGCCAACGGACATTAGTGCCGTGGCGGGACTCAAACCGCGGACCCTGTGATCCACAGTCCAACGACTTATCCACTAGACCACAACACCTCTATACCCATGACCTTTTCCTTTTCATGACCTGAGAAAAATAGACCTACATTATTTGATGGACTAAAATAAAATAATCAAAATTAAACAACAATGAGACCCTCTTAATTGTCCCTCACACTAAGCGTTACATTTCGGATGAGAATGGTCAGCAGTGTTCAGATACTTTATGGGAAACAGAAAGTTTACCTTCCACAATGTCATCTGAAAATTTACATTCTCTTCATGGTCATTTGACTTGCCATCTTCTATGTCGAGGTCCAGTTTGCTCTTCTTCGTCTCCTGCAGGCAAATATTTAAAAAATAATAAGATATAGAAATTAGAAAACAGGACGAAACATCGAAAATAATATCGCTAGATATATTCGTTTGTCTCGCAATGTATGGTCAACAACAAGGTATCTAAAATATCACAACGTTTCGTGCGCCGCTGCAACACTTCGTCAGGTGATAAATATATTGTAAGCAAGCGTGCTTTATACTCTACTTGTTGACCATACATTGCGAGACAAACGAATATCACTAGCGATATTATTTTCGATACTTCATCCGCACTGAGTAATAGCATTAGGATGAAACATTGTGGTTGCAATTTAATTATACTGGTATAATGATGAGGTAAAAGGGAAATTCCCTAAACAGTAACTAACTGGACATTGTTTAAATCCACCCTTGAGTCTGAATGGAAACAACCAAGGCCTGTATTTTCGAGGTATCACAATCGTTGGACCTGATTGATGGAGAATTTCTCAGCCACCAACATTGATAAGTCACCCAATCATGAAGATAGGAGTCCAAGGGCGCTGTTGGGGGCTGCGATCCACCCCCACCTCCCACCCCCCTCCCCCTGAGAATCTTGAAATACCAATATTCATTAAGGCAACCGCCACCTAATATCAGGCAGCGGGAGATGCCGAAATATTTCATTTTCAATGTGTATTTTGATGACAGAATGCCATTTTATACCATTAACCATATTTGGTTGATCACAAAATTTAGAAACTGAGACCTTCTTCAAAGTAAAAATCTCCTAAGCCTACGATAATAAACATCTCACGAATAAAGGTACTGCATTGTATTTCATGATAACCCTAAAAGAAAAAAATCCAAAAGCTTCAATCATTTAAATGTATTCGTAAAATGGAAAATTGAAGATCTTAAAATGCCCTCGTTTCCTTACAAAGTGCCCTTATAAATAGAGCCGTGCGAAATCAGGAAATGCAGGATATAATTATAAGTGAGTTCAGCTGCAGAAATCATTTCTTTTGAAACGAGTGAAGTTCAAATAACAGGGTTGCTCAAAACAAACATTCCATTTCCAAGGCCCTTGTGATTAATTATCCTTGTTTTAAAAGGGAAATGTAATTATCCGGGCTTTATTTTCCTTTAGAGTAGCCGATTGACGATCTAAGCTTACACCGCGAATGGAATTCTAACCAAAAAAAAGCAGCAAGTATATTTTTTTCTTCCATTCAGTTGTGAAATGACACATCCGTATTAAAACATTTGCGAGCTCACTCCTTGGTCTAATTTCAGGACCCAAATGCAAATTATTTACAACGGAGAAGAAATATTTTCATGGAATATAACAAAGGAATGAATCATAACGATTCTAGAGGTTACGTACCTTTAAATGAAAAGACATTTAGTTATTATTCTCATGATTTGAAACTGACTAAACGTTTAGTATTTTCGTGATAGATTATTCTAAACTGAAAAAAAGGACACTGATGAAAAACATTGGATAACTTCAGTTCCATGCACAAATAGTATCTATGAGCATATTTAATATATCACGAACGCTTTTTTGGGGGTTCTTTTCTTTAACTTATTCTGCTTCTAATTCTTCTTTTTCTTTTTCTACTACTTCTTCTTCTTCTTCTTCTTCTTCTTCTTCTTCTTCTTCTTCTTCTTCTTCTTCTCCTTCTTCTTTGTCTTCTTTTCCTTCTTCTTCTCCTTCTTCTTCTTCTTCTTCTTCTTCTTCTTCTTCTTCTTCTTCTTCTTCTTCTTCTTCTTCTTCTTCTTTTTCTTTTTCTTCTTCGTCTTCTTCTTCTTCTTCTTCTTTTGATAAATCAATTACAATCATGGCAATACGAAAATAGTATCTAAGCTCATTTCATTGTATTCATTGATTCTTACCGGTTCGATCACGTCTTCGACTTCCTTTGATTCCGGTTCCTTGGCCGAGATGCCGTTGAAAGCGCCTCCGTTTTCCTTCATTGTGCCGACGTCGAGAGCGTCGAAGCCTTCGTTGTCGAAGGTTTGAGTATTGGTTGAACCGTCGTCCGCTTTTACCTGATAAAAATAACAACAATTGAAAAAATGCTCTGAAAAGAAATTTCTTTTTTGTCGTACCAGTGATTTTATATCCTTTGCAAGTGGTGAACTATTACGTTTTATTTGAAGTCTTATGTTTAATATTTCAACTCAAAGACGTAAGTAGCTTGCACCTACTTCAAATATTATTTTTTATTTTTTTAAGCAAAGAAGTCTGAAAAATATGTTTGGGACCTTACCAACACTATCAGAAGGCTTTAAAGCCCGTCTGCACTAGTTTGGCCAGGGGGATTATACCTCCCTGCAAGGTATATCTCATCAAATCAGCTCTCAATTAACATAAGAAAAAGGGGATCATGGGGGACCAACAGGCACCGATTGGAAATTATTTGCTGTATAGAGGGCGCAAGTAGCTACTAGTAGTGCAGTGGGGACTTAAATAAACGATTCAAAAAGAGATCACGTAGACCTAATATTGTTAGACCCCTTTACACCCAATGTTTTACTTGTCATAATCGTATGTACCCAGGAAAGTTTTTTTTCCTAAAGAGGCACTGACATTAATCCCATAGGCAGCCCTTTTATACACACGGGTGGAGAGGAACAAACCTGGATGAATCCCCTCGTCCAAGGGCAATAAGGGTATAAGCAGCGCATCGAACCCGGGACCTCTCACATAAGTCTATATAGTCTTCAACAATACACCACAGTGCCCCACTTATGTGATATCTAGCTATTGCCTAATATCATTTGAAACCTTTATAGAGAATGATAGCTTTGCGACATTGAGGACAATCATACCAAACTTGGAAAGTAAACTTGATAATAATTGTTTCCTCCCCATGTCACTTTTCAACTGCGTGCCTACTCGAACGGATCACACAGTTAACTTTTCACCTCTGAATACGAATAATAGACATTAAGTAAACTTCACACTATCTGAAATTAACGTCTTACGTCAAAGGAAACAAGGACAGTTAATGTCACTTTTGTAATTTCAGCTCATCGTTTCAGGCAATTAAAAGTCCACTCTGGGTCACCATATAAACACATATTGTAAAGAGGAAACAGATCTAGGGACTCTTGGAGACAGTCCACCCTTGACACTGCTGTCTGAAATTAACGTCTTACGTCAAACAAAACAAGGACAATTAAATGTCACTTTTGTGATTTCAGGGCAGGGCAGGACACCGTTTCAGGCAATTAAAAGTCCACTCTGGGTGACCATATAAACACAGTATTGCAAAGAGGAAACAGATACCGGGACTCTTGGAGACAGTTCTGACTCCGATTCTAAGTTCAATTTGAATTTAATTATTGTGGGAAATGGGACGAAAGTATTTAAATGGTCACGCAAAAAAAAGGGTTACTCTAAGGTCATATGCGTGCTTGGTCGCAGTGACCTTGTGAATGAAGCGTCACTTTCATGAAATGATGGAGTGAAGGATTAACAACATAATGTAGAGGTGTCGTAGTCGAGTGGTTTAAGCACTCAAAGGTCAAAGGTCGTGGGTTCGATCCCCGACACGGCACTAGCGTCTTTTGGCAAGGCAGTATTCTACATTCGCCACTCTATACCCACTCCATAAAGGGGACCTGGTAGGAAAACGACATCCTTTGTGTTAGTAATTATCATATGCCCTCATGGTGACCATTATGGTAGGAATGCTCCCCAGGGAGTGGAGTGGAGATGGTGCACATTTTGCGTGAATGAATGCGATGAGCGGGATAGCAATGTCTGTAAAGCGCTTACAGACGTCATTAAGTATTAAGTGCTATATTAAATTCAGATTAAATTCAGATTATGATTAGTATCAATAATTCATTAGATTAGACAGCATACGTGTACACCTGCAAGACAATGCAAAGTATTGAGAAAAGTTATAGAAGTTGTTTCAAATACTAGACGCAAATCTTTATATACAGGATTTCAAATTTTTCTCCAAAACATTGTCTGCATTTAAACAAATTTTCATGGTATAAAGCATTGACGTTTTGGTTCAATATGACTAAGGGCTGATGTCACCGGCCTGAATATGAAATTTCCCCAAGTTTTCCTTAGATATTTTAAAACTTTTATGAGACAGAAAATACACAATACAGAGTAATGACAATGTAATTCTTGAAGAAGAAAAAATATTATAAAAGACCTCCTCGCTCCCCGAATAATTAATGGCTATATTGCCTGAATAATGAGGATGTAGTTTCATATTCTCAGTCCCCCCCCCCCCCCCGGGGTAAAAGCAACTTCTTGTGAGGATCTTTTTTTTTTTTTTTTTTTTCCTCATTACCAGAGGATTTGCAAGTAGGCCTATATACATATTTCGTTTTACGTATCTTTCAGTTTTTCAGTTTATTTCATATTTCACATTCACATCACATTAAATAAATCATTAGCACTTAGCAATAAGAATGACAAGAATTGTTCTTTCAATAGGCGTACAAATAATTATATACAGTAATATCAGGTCATGAAAGTAATAATACATTCGAAATAACATACGGAGATATAAATGCAATTGCATGGTATCTAAACTGAGATGAGACAAATATATTTGTAGTAAAATATGGGGGAATCTAGTAAAAAGCTGAGCTTGTAAACTATAGATTCCCTTGTATTACGTACGTACTTAAGCAATGAATAAAGCAATTGTATCAATTTTTCATTTGATACATACTCAATTTGTCATTGAATACACCACGTATTATTTAATGGTAATCGAACCGTGAATAAACAAAAGGTATCAATGTTTTATTTGATGCGGGTTTAGTTCAAAATTTATCCAGGCAAGTTATCCAAGCTGAATTTGATATGACTTTAATTAAAGGGCTGAATGGATGTTGAGGTGCAAAATAGATCGAGTTAGCATATCAAGAGATGAACAATATAGAATCAGATTTCGGCCTATGATCCGAAAAGGGGTAAACTCTACAACTAGTCCGAATGAAAGGTTTTCTTTTCAAAAAAGCATAGACGCAGTATTCAACACAATAGCAGCTATTTGTACAGTGCGTCCCAGAAAAAAAAACGAAACCGAGAATTATCGATGTTTTATCATAAGTTAGTCACATTTATAATTAATAAATGACACATATTTTGAAAGCTTAGCTTCCCTTCTTTCATTTGATGCAACTCATAATGATGCATATTTCACGCATAAGTGATTAAAATCAATTTGAAGAGAGGAAACCAAAAAGTCTTTCGTCTTCGGCTGATTGTCAACGAAACGGAATTAAGTCTTTTGTTAATTCCGTTTGTTGCTACGGCAGACAACCAGTGAAAACGAACTCGTTTAATTAAATTATGGAAATGCAAGCACTACTTTAAACAACAGAACTTTGTTATTCCTAGCTCATTTTTCCTGATTGAGGTGTCATATGAAAGGGCAGAAACTCAACTTTCTGGAAATGTGATTTTCTCTTTGAAATTTAGATACCGCCCGCCAAATGACCTTTTGGTTTCCTCTCTTCAAATTGATTTTAATCACCTATGCGTGACATATGCATTAATATAAGTTGCATCAAATGAAAGAGGAGGATCTAAGCTTTACAGATATGTGTTATTTATTATTTATAACTGTGATTAAGTTATGATAAAACATCGATAATTCTCGGTTTCGTTTTTTTTCTGGGACGCACTGTATAATGTGCGAACGTGACGATTGCGTATTGCGTAATCCTGCATGGTTTCTGTGGGACATACAATAGGATATAGGATGTTGAAATTGCCCTTGAGTGGATTTTTCAAAATAGGTGCGATCTTGGTTTTTTTTTTTCGTTTCCTTTTCATGAATAGTACAATAATTATGTCAGAATGTAATATAGTAAGGGGGCGAAAAACCTCAAAAAGTGAAGCTTTTGGGGATCGCCAAAAACTAATTAGCATAGAAAATGTTTAAGAACCACATTACATGAATACGTTATAGGACGGTGATGGTAGGAACGAAAGTGTAGCCAAACATGAAAACCCGAGAAAAAAAAGGTATTTGAGGAGCTGATTCAAATTAAGAGGTAAATTGGTTGAAATAAATGTTCGTCTATACATCACTTCTGAACATGAGGAAGTTAAAAGGAAATCCGACCTTGATAGCAAAATGCTCTACAAGAAAGAATGCAGATCTTTTTTTTTTTTAGAATGGTGAAAGTTTTAATGAAATCGGACTAAAAATGAGAAAGTTCTGAATTGTTGAAAGTTTTGATCACTGTAGGTACGGGCTCTTCAAATTGGCTGAATCGCTGAATCGCTAACGTCTCTGTGATGTAATGGCGGACAACTAATTTCCCATTTGTTCCAAATCACAAAATGACAAAAAAAATGCATTAACAAAACAGATATGGCTCGATAAGGTCTATTCAGTAGATAGGACCTATAACAAATGCTATCCATAATATATTTCGGGTAATGCCCCAAGGAAGAAAGTACTTAGGAAAAAACACAAATTGATAATATTGTTTGTGCATGACAAACGGGAGAGTTATCAGCGACTACGTCACAATCCACTTACCAAACTGCCAATTTGAGATTCGCAAAGACTTAGTGATCTTATATTTCAAGCATTCATAACTTTCTTATTATTGGTCCGATTTATTTCAGACTTTCGCCATTCTGTGTATCCTATTGTTCTGCTTCCATACAAATGAACTTATTACAACGATTGGGTCGCCCTTAAAGGTAGTATGTCCCATTTGCAGGCCAACAAATGAAACGGTTAAATTCCAACGGCATTTGAAAGATAATACTAATTTAGAACTTCCTTGAAAATGTCTTTAGGTGGGAAAATAACAACTAGTAGTTGTCAAATCGACTTAGGAGCTATAGAGCCAATAAGTAATAGTCTTGATTTTCAGACCATTGTACTGAATTGTCATACTTTTTATGCTGCGCAAAGATTCAATCAGTTTAAGTTTGGCCATCCCAAGAAGCGGGTTATTGATGTACCAAATGCTCATGTACCTTTATACAGCTCATTTTATGTATGTTATTATCAATGAAGAAAAAAAGCCAGTCAGTCACTCAGAGTCTGATGGTGAAGTCTAGCAAGTAAACAGGTTTCCTTGCATAATTTGAATGTTAGGACACTGCTAACATTTAAATTTCACAGATAGGACATACATGACATATTCATGATTCCTGCAAAGTTCTACAGAATTTGAGGTTGGCTGCAAAAGGGACATAGTATCTTAAAATGATTAACACTTTAAACACAGCGTAACGTGCTAAATGGTTAGATTTGAACCCAAGAAATCGAGGCCAAATAATGTCTAACAGGCTCCTAGCTTCCTTAGTCAGGAAACAAGGCAAACTTCAGATTAAACGTTGATATATATATTAACCTTCCCAACCTTCCCAACCTTATCAAGTTTAAAGACAACGACTACCCCCCCCCCCCCCCCAACCAAACAAATTCATTGGAGTATTTAATGAAAACAACGACGACCGCCAACGTAATATCGTCTGCGTTACTAGGGACTTTTAGATTTGCGTGGACTGATACGTGTGACGTCCATTCAAGGCAGTGCATGAAAAGGACGTCGATCGTAGTAACCCACGTTGTCGTTGTGCAAATCTAAAAGTCCCTATTATGAACAGACGAACCCGTCATTATCTGTCGCCCATAAAGTTGGAATACTTTTTTTTCTTACCTCTAATTCATAGAATGATTGGGGTTTTCAGTGTAGTTATGTGTGCGGGGGGGGGGGGGGGCGAAATGAGATAAGTTTGTTAGAAGAACGTGTCTGAGAGTGTGTAAGAGCAAAGGGCCTGCTTGCTCATCCTTTGACCCACTCTAGTGTCACCTCCCAACCTATAATCATAATCTCATTTGCCCCTTTTCTCTGTCTTTTATCTTTTGTCTGTTATCGCCTTAGTCATGTTCATTATGAATTTGTTATATATATCATACTTTGTGCAAATATCAAACCACATTTGAATGTAACTATTATTGCCAATGTATTTGACACATACACCTGTAATTCAGTCATTTGGCTGCAAAGTGCAATCATAATAAAACCTTTTCAATCAATCAATCAAACATGGTTTATTCTTGATAGATATATCCCTAGATCTCGATTAACTGATAAGCCCCGTTAGATTAATCAATAAACTTCTGAGAGGATATAAACTTTATCTATCAAGAAATAGATCTTATTGTAACAACCATTTCATAGACAGAGGTACACCAACACCTAATATTCCAACTTAAGGGCAACATTGTCAGCGTACACAGTTTAAAACTAAATTATTCATACCCTTACCAATTTTTGCATTTTTGAAGTATATGCTAACAATTGATTTGTTCTGCATGATTTACATCTCTGAAGTTTACATCAAAAAGTATTCAACAAATGCCCTGATTCAACCGCTCCACCTTTCATTGTTGAGTTACGAAAAAACACAAAAACATCAAATTTACAATGGGTTTGAATAATTTAGTTGTTTATTGTATATACAGATTAATGTATGGATTCGACGGATCATAATCATGATGATACCGATAACGAAATAAATCAGTGCTGTATTTATTGTTCTTCCATTTATTCCTCTATCTTTCTCTTTCTCTGATTAATACCTGTCTCTACTTGTTTGATTCCCTTTAAATTTTCCACTCAGTAGGCGGTGTCACACAGAGGCCAAAAAAATTCGGATTTTAGTTATCCTCTTAATTGCTGTCTGTCATCAATAATATTTATCCCATTAAAAATCCTCTAACGAAGCAAGAAAATTCTCCCTTGAAAGGATTTTTCGAGGTTTTTTTTTAATGGATTTTTCTGTGTGACACCGCCTAGTGTGAAAATCTAGTACTGTGTACGAATGACTACCGTGTGATTACATTTACTCAAAGCATTTGTTACTCAGCATGCACATTGTACCCAACAGATTATTTATTTTTATTAAGTGGTCAGATACAAAGATAAAGGGTGTCATAAAAGGTACCTTTCAATACGAATGGATTAGATGTTTGTCTCCCTTTGTTTTAGTCTTTTCGAGAGTACATGCAGTGAGGTATAGGTAGTATAGGGACGCGACGGGTGCAGTGTAGTGGTTCAAGAAGTGCTGTTGTTTGTAGCTTTGTCTTTCAGTCAAAATTTACTATTGGCGCCTATTTTGTTTCAATTGGGAAAAACAGTCTAATCATAGACTACCGTCTAAGATAGTGAATCCTAGCTTGGAAACGATTTGCCTCTGTGCTTTCGCGGGGAATGAGAAGAGGAGGAAGAAGAAGAAGAAGAAGAAGAAGAAGAAGAAGAAGAAGAAGAAGAAGAAGAAGAAGAAGATAACGAAGAAGAAGAAAAAGAAGTCATGCAAATAGTATGATATAACATAGGTAAATATAATATAATGACATTCAGTAGAGAAATTGATATAAAAGGAGTAAAAAGAAGAAGCAGAAAAAGAAGAAGAGAAAAAAAGGAAGGAAAGAAAGAGAGAAACATGGTTGATAGTAAAAGAAGTGTTTACAATCGCTTTTTATTTTTCTAAAAAAAACAGCGATAAACATTTAACATACAAGTTTTAATACAAGTCAGTAATGAAAACCGTCTCTGGCCAGTGTAACAGATTTAGATAACTTTTTTTTAATTAATAAAATAGGCTTGTCAATAAAGCTTTAAAATGAATTATATTTACATAGTAAATAGAGTTCCTCATTATTATACACTGTATTTACGTCCAATGTCCAAACAAAATCTACCAATATATGAATTATGTCTGATAATTCTTAATATATCTGAGCTTTGGTCTGCACAGTGCATGGGCTTTAAATAAAACAAACTAACAATGGGTCACAAAATGGCTTGTCGCCAAACGCGTACATTTTAACGAATTCATCGGAAACTAAAATCTTTTACCCAAACAGTATTAGTTGTAGAATAATTAGCTTTGACACACACACGTGGTTTGGTTTTCAGAAATACTTTGAACTATGACCGCTAAATGGCAATGCTCTCTTCCACTTTTCGATGATTTGGAACAAATTAAAGAACATAAATAATTACCATACAAATAAACCGTGATGAATTATTAATGATTGAAAGTGATAACAAGTGATAAGGGAGAACATGATATCGTAATTTTCAATTTTCCAATTCAATTAAGTTTTGGTTATTATCATTATATTAACACAATATATGACAAAGTCCGAAGATTAACATTGTCATATTTACAGTAAACTACAACAACAAGAAATAACATCAAACAAGATTATAAAAATGAACATAGTTCAATAATAACTACAAACAGAAAGGGCGTGACAAATGTCATTAAAAACATAATATTAAATAGCAACTATTACCTTTAATGATAATTGATAGATTTCACGAGATTATTGATACAGCGAATCCCAGTAGTTCACATATTACTTGCGTTAATGAAACAAGGGTCTGGGCTCTGTATCATGAAACTTGTTACCAATAACAAGTTACCATGACTGTTATAAGCTACTGAAATCGTGGTATTTGATTGGCTGAGAGCAAATTTGTCATAGAAATTTAGCATGTGTTATTGATAACAATTTTTATGAAACAGGGCCTAGGTTTGGTCTGGTTTGTTTTTATTTTCCGATGAAAAAACACAATATAGATATTTTCTACTGCGGTATGAGCATCACTATCGCGATGGAAACCGGCGCATTATAAGTGTTCAAAGTATTACATAGCCTAATGATAAGTATGTTCAAAGGACCACAGTAAGAAGGTATTTAGGCCTACCTAAATAAATCTTAAAAATGAGTGAAACATATGAAAGTCAAATGAAATAAGCAATTACTTAGTATATAATTTGAATTATACACCCCCCCCCCCCCCCATATATGCACACACACAAACATGCACACACTTTAGCACTTAACACCTTATTGTATAGACTGGGTATGCTATCTGAGACATGTAAAATGCACTTACCATGATTTAATCCTTCGCAGAATTCTCTTAAAAGTATGAAATGGAAACTGCTCAGAAGATGAGAGCTAGCGGTAGTCAGTCAGGTCTACAAAGAGTGAGTGAACTGCCACTTTTTGACATTTCCTGTCAGAATCTGTCCAAAACTTCAAAGCAATCAACAACGTTCTCAGCTCCCTGCCAAAGTCCGAAATGTTTCTAAGAGTTGGACTCGTTTCCTAAAGTACTATAGGGCCTGACGATCAGTTTCAACACGCGCGCGTTCGGTAAAACCAAAACAATTACAAATCTAGTTCGTCTATTTGTTTTACGCTATGTAAGAGGTGATAAAATCAACCTCTTTTGCACACAGTCGCTTAAGGTATGTTTTCATTAGCTCGAGATTTGCCAAATAGCCCGCTATTTTTGATTTGGGAAATGAGCCTGAAGTTACAAATCGCGCCTCATTAGCTCGAGACCCCGGCCTCGAGACTCGATATCGGAACTCGAGCTCGAGAAATTAGCTTGAGATATTTTGCTCAGCGTTTGCGCATAATAAGATGCAAGTCTTCGGCCTGGTGAGGACGCACCGGACAAATAGCGGAAAATTTTGCAAACTAGCCAAAGATATCTTGGGATGATTAGCTCGACCAAATATCCCGCTAATTGCAACTGAGGTCTGATGAAGACGTAAATTAACTGGATAATTTGCGATCGGGTTAGTTAAAAAAGCGGGTTATTTGGCAATCTCGAGCTGATGATAAGTTACCACAGAAATATATACACGAAGGAGCAGGAATGTGTGAGAAATTTGCAAATAACACATTTCGTCTGAGCACTTGCAAAGACCGAACATGTTCAAAATTAGACGTGCTAATAAACATTTCTTTTCGTGTACGATGAAGTTACATTCGCGCATGGTATCGTGCGATGATTCCGTTGGGCTTAGCTTTTGTAAATTGAAGCAATTTTGAAAAAATAAGGAGCTAAACATTTTTTTAAAAATTCCTGTTACAAAGATTTTAGGCCTACATGCACTTTAAATTGATCGAAAAGCCAAAGGCCTATTCACAATTGGGAAAATAACGTACATTGCTCCGACACTTGGTTATGGCATTAACCTTATTCTGAGCATAGCAATTATGTATTATATCATTTCTTTCGAACAGAGACATACAGTTACCTGATTGAAGATCATAATGTATCTTATTGAAGAAATAAGGAGCTAAACATTCGATTTGTTTCTTCTTTTTTTTCTTACAAAGATTGTACATGTATACTTTAAATTGGTCGAAAAGCTAAAGGCCTATTCACAATTGGGAAAATCATATTGTGTTTTTTCCTGACATTTGTCATGTCGTTAACCTTACAGTCTGAGCAAAGTATATTGTATATAATTTCTTTTCGAACAGAGACATACAGAAGATCTTAATGCATTTCTAGAAAATACATACACTTTTAGAGGGAGGGAGAGAGAGAGAGAGGGAAAGAGATGGAGAAAGAGAGAGGGAGAGGGGGAGAGAGAGAGAGAAAGAGAAAGGGAAAGGGAGAGAGAGAGAGAGAGAGAGAGAGAGAGAGAGAGAGAGAGAAAGCATGCTAACGCTCACGTAATTCTTAGACTAGTCGAAGCTCAGCTACGAGTGAAAAAAGGTGAATCTTTGTGAATAACAACCCCTCTTTTAAAAAAAAAATTACACAGCCTATGTATGTAATTGCTAGGGGCTTTGCTAGAGGGTGTGATGTGAGAGACCACGCCCTCTCCCACCCTCACCCCCATTCCTTCAATTATTTTCACTCGGCGAAATCTGAATTCTCCTTCAACTTCAAGGCTTCTAGTCAGATCTCAAAAATTATGATTTACTTATTGTTGTTTTATTTGACTATTTTGATATTGTGAATCATTCTACTTAATCATCCATAATTTTGATTTAATTTTTTTTTTTTTTTTTTTTTAAATCGATTCTCTATTCTTTTCTTGAATACTGCTGTTGCTATACGGCTGAATTGTACTGTCAAAATGGTTCCCCCCCCCCTTTTTTTTTAAATTTCAAAATGGCCCTGCGATGCCTATCTGGTAAGTAATGAATTTAATTGCGGGGTAGCCTATATATTTGAGCTGTTTTCCTGTTGTTGTCTCTGTATACAACTGCTCTTGATAAGTGGGATATGAGGTGAGGTTTATATCCGGCCTGCTTTAAGTTTTTGCCAAAATCAGTCTGTCCTAATGGTCTCATGCGAAAAATAAATAGTATCTGGGATATCTGATAGCACTGTTTAATGGTGCTGGGGGTGGCTTTGGGGAGGAGGTGCTTCTTTCATTTATTTAAGTGCCTAGCGAAAATTTGGTGGGGGGGGGGGGGCTTAATGAAATTTGGGGATGGCTTGAGCCTCTACCCCCCCCCTCCTCCTCTCAGAACCGCTAGTGATCTTATATACTATTTTGTTCAGCCTATACTATAGTAAGTGATCACAAAGCCCCCCCCCCCCCTCCCCCGCTTATTCGGCCTTGAGTCGCCACTAACAGTACTACTTTCTCAAATTGGGCCCCCTTCCTCGCCGCCGGCTGGATGTGCCCCTGCTAATGACTTTATATATTAATGATATTATATTGGTTAGAACAATATTAATGTATGAAAATCCTGTTTTTACGTGTTTTTCTTTTTCATTAATAAAATCTCTACATACAATGAATAACTAAAATATCATGTTGGTTATTAATTATAGATAATCGTGATGCGTGGGTAAACTTAAAGGGAAATGGACAAAACATTTGCGTGTAAAATGACCTTGCACTGACCATTATATGTTATGATTAGTCTATGACCCCATTGTTTTTTCCGTTATCGTTTTTTTTTATTTTTTCAACTCAAATTTGGCAAAATAGGGTCAAAGCGTTTATTATAATGGTTTTGCAACGAAAAGATGAGAGGTAATTTCTAGGAGCATATACAAAGGGCGTCGTCGCCCCCTATTATCCCCTCCTCCTTCGTCTCCGCTTCTGTATACACTGTATTATAATTGTCACGAATTAAAAGTGCTAAATTAATAAGTTGCTATTTGTACTCTAATTTACTCGAGATACTGTTATTTAATAGAACACTAAATACTCTAAGCACTTTACAGATATAATACCCCGGCCATCAGATTCAGGCTTGCCCGCATTAGCTCAGTCGGTAGAGCAGTGGTCTCGTTATCCGACGACCCGGGTTCGAAACCTTTGGTAAGATATTAATCCTCATTACCAGGTCCCTCGGAGAGAACCTAAAGCCGTCAGTTGCTGACTTACAAGCATTTATGCTTTCTTAGCAGTCAGGTACAATAAACACTATCCTGTGTAAATGTTACCTCTTTGTGTATGACAACCTATTTGTCAATGAAGTCTTTGATGATCTAGGTAACTTTGAGGGATGAAGTCAAGGCTAGAATGCGGTGACTGTCAGGGTCATGCACGTTCCGAGGGCTGAGTGGCGGATCCAGGGGAAGAAAAAAACGTGTAAAAACACGTGATTTTTACCTTTTTTGGAGGTTGGGCCATATATTCAGGTTGGGGGGGGGGGGGGGGGGGGTGCAAATTTTTAAATTTTCGAGGGCCAAAAAAAAAAAATGTGCTCACTACCACCAACCCCCCCCCCCCCCCCCCCTCCCCCACTGAGCGAATTTTCGGCCAGCGCGATTTTCAAATTTTCGGGAGCAAAAAAAAAAAAAAAAAAATGGGCCCCCTCCCTTAAGAAATCCTGGATCCGCGCTTGCCCAGGTTATAATATCAAAAGGCACATTATAATAATCCGCTTTTTTTATAGCGCTATTATACGGGGTAACCTACGTGATCGCTCTATATTATGATTACAACTATGAAAGTCACCAGTACCAAAATGCGTCGAAGGTATTGCAGCATGAAGGAAATTATATCAATACAAATGCAGAGAGTCGGTACAGGAAATGGCGCAATCTGGCCCGAAGATAGGGGTGGACAAAAAAAACTCTTGTTCAGGAGATCTAGGAAATCATTAGTTTTGGAAATGGTTATATAGCAAATGTGTAAAGATTAAGATAGACAGGGTAAACTAATTTAGCGAGGATAATTGTGTTTTTGTTGAAAGAAAGAAAGTGGCCAAGGTTTCAATATATAAACATGCATATCAGTGTGAGGAAGAGAGATTAAAACAACTTGGAGAGAAAAAAAGGAACAAATTAATGACCCGATGGTAATTAGAACGTTCTGTATGTTGATTCATGATTGGATCGTCCCGAATGTGGATGTGTCTTTATTTATCTCTACCATTTTACAATATCCTCCCCTCTCTCTCTCTCGATCTGTCTTGTCTCTGTCTCTCTATCTGTCTCTGTATGTCTGTCTGTCTGTCTGTCTGTCTCTCTCTATCTGTTCACGTATGTCTCTCTCTCTGTGTCTGTTTCTCTCTCTCTCTCTCTCTCTCTCTCTATCTGTCTCTCTCTCTATCTGTCCGTCTCTCCCTCTCTCTCTCTACATCTGTCTGTCTGTCTCTCGCTCTCTCTCTCTCTATCTGTCTCTGTCTGTCTCTTTATCCGTCTCTCGCTCTCTCTCTCTCTCTCTCTGTCTCTGTCTGTCTCTCTATCTGTCCGTCTCTCTCTCTCTCTCTCTACATCTGTCTGTCTCTCGCTCTCTCTCTATCTGTCTCTGTCTGTCTCTTTATCCGTCTCTCTCTCTCTCTCTCTATTTAACTTCACACTCGTTGCCTCACCAGCATTCCTGAATAAACAAATATCTTTCAAAGCAACTTTATCTTTATTTTAATCAACAGATACATCTGTTTCCTTTTATTTACATCAAACACAGAGACAAAAAACAATTACAAATTTCTGAGAAATTCATTTTGTAAGCCATTTCATCCAAAAAATAATATTAAGGATTAAATAGTTACAAAAATATGGACACAATCATATCTTACATATTTTACACAATGCCACAATATGTCTTCAGAAGTTAAATACATCTTTGAATCGTAACTAATTTCATTAATCAATAATTCAATGCAATTAAAATGTGACCCCTCGCTTTATTCCCAGTATCCAAAATATTCAGCAATCCGAATTTATTATTTAATATATGGTTCTTTATTGTTATTTAGATTAAAGGGGCATAAAGGTATCATCAATATGATGAAAATAGAAATGATATTGAAATTCCCATGCGCCTCCATCTACAATTACTCCGCAATACCTCATTTCATATTTAGAATGAAAGGATCGAGCTGCACTCAATTTAATCTTTTTTTTAAGGCCAAATAGTGCTGAATTTAATGAAACTAGAAATAAACGGGAGGGACATCACTAAAACCAGTAACTTATATCATATTCGCATAGCACCTTGAATACGTATAAAAGTCTACTCTTACTTTTTTATTTAGGGGGTTGGAGGGAAGAATGGGGTTGCCAATCGACACAAACAGGCAAGTGGACAGTACTTTGTGTATACAACCATGTGAAGTTTTGTATTAATCCATGTATTTCCTTGCATAAATAGACTATTTACAGGTAGCTCTGAAAAGAGCTTTTGGGGTCACCCCCTGGCGGGTCAGAGGTTGGGTCACAACCTTTGACCTCGGCAGAGGGTAGTTCTGAAAAGAACTGTTGGGGTTATCATACCTAACCAGGCAGCTACTGCCCATAGTTATAGATATGAATGTTGCAAAGAAACGACAGGATTTTTTTCTTCACATGGTTTATAAACATACAATGGATTTGCATCTTATTACTGACCCCCCCCCCCCCCTCCCTGCCCCCCAAAAGAATTTAATCTCCAACAAATATAACTTATTGCATTATTCACTCAGCGCTACCACACACTGATGTATACATGTATCTGATTATTTACTTAAATTTTTTTTTAAATAGAGGATACTTTACAACTCAACAGTTTCTTGCTTGTAATAGTATTGAGTTTTACGCCTGGGCCTTGTTTCATGAAACTTGTTATCTTTAACAAATGCTAAAATCCTATGACAAATTAGCTCTCAGCCAATCAGATGCCACGATTTCAGTAGCTTATAACAGTTATTGTTACTTGTTATTGATAAGAAGTTTTGTGAAACGGGACCCTGTTTCATGTAATGCATGAATTTAAGTTGCCTCTAAATCACAATCCTTTAAAAAAAAAATTGAATATCATGCTCATTACATTAAACTCATCATTAGTAGCATTACAAATGCAGAAAATATGTATTCTGATCTATAATTTCTTTTTCAAACCCATCTTTTCTATTTTATTACAATTAAAAATTGTAAGGGGACAAACTTTGCGAGTGAGCAAAGAGACATAGCAGACATATTTCCAAGACACAATGATCAACTAGACATGTCTATTACTTGATAATAAATACACATTTAGCTCATTTTTTCAAGGTAAAGGCACGTAACATCAGCAGGGGTCCAGGGTGGCGTTTCACAAAACTTGATATCAGTGACAAATGACAGTTTCTGTTATACGTTACTGAAATCCTTGCTGCTGATTGGTTGTCAGCAGATTTGTCACTGATTTTTGTCATTTGTCGTTGAAAAAAGGTTTTGTGAAACAGGTCCAAAGTCTTCTTCATGAATCGTGTCTGTTTTGTCCAGAGACCGAGTCACATGTTTATAGACATAAATGAATAAATAAATCACCAAACGCTTGTTACTTTTTGAAGATTATCAGCAATACACGGAGGGTTATGATCAATAACAGACCATTCTTTTTTAAAACGTGAAGTATCAGTTGCCTAAGGAACAATAAAAATCTAAAAATAGCTATAATTCTCTATACTCTGTTAAAAATGTAAAATGTCTAAAATTGTCCATGCTCTACCTCTTCCTACAAAATAACACCTTTCATAACATATGATAAGTGTGAAAAAAAAAGCTGGTGTTAAAAACAAAATCAAATGAGAGCTCGAAGTAAAGTTTATTATAAAAAAAGTCTAAAATTACTGAGAAACTTCTCGTGGCTAGTCTACGAACGCAAGACCACCACGTTTTAAACCCACTGTAGCAGGATCACACACTAAAACAGTGATAAAAATCAAGATTTTCAATTGATTATATTTTCCTAGCAAAAGGAATGACCACGTTTTTTTAATAAAATGGAGTTGATTATTGTTTAAATCATTAAGTCATAAAATTAAAGAAGGGTAAAGGATGGAGAATAAATACAGAAGAAAATAGTTATATACAGGGTAGCCTCAGATGCTTAAATACAAGGATTTGTATAAAAAGTTCAATAAATTAGCACTATGCATAGAATTTCACTATCTTTACAGGCGATAAAAATGATTGGAATTTGCAGGATTAAAATCTTGCGGAATTTTTTGCTCGCTTTACTGCGAAATGGACCATTAGGATTAGTCCGACCTGAGAAATAGACATTAAAAAAACAAACCTCTTTTCCCTACTCCTGTTGGGGAGTAAATAAAATAATTTCAGTTATGATGTCAGGATCAAAGGACATCGGTGACATATTAACAGCAATAAAATTGTCATACAGAACATACAACATTTGCAGTTTTACGTCTTATCGGGGCATGTCAGCTCAAAGAAAAGAACAGGTCAGGAGTCACTGAGGCAAATATTCTAATCCTTTCAAGGAATTCAATCAATCGCATATTTGAGCTCGTTATTCCGCCGAATAACTTCTACTATTGCTTCATTTGGTTTGTTATTACTTCGACGCAAGCTTCGTATAACATTAAAATTCATCTCTTGTTCCGTTTCCAGAACCACTCCCACACACCCTACACACACTCAACTCGATATAAAAAATGATTACGCTCTATGGAAAGGCTAAATGTACAGGTTCACCGACGAAGGTCGATCCTTTCTCATCATAACGTTGTGAGGGCGGCAGTCGTTGCCTCTATTGCGGCTGTGACGTTGCTGCTCATGGTGGCGTTGATGGCAGCTGTTGTCATTACGTATGTTTCCCCGGGAACAAATAGGATACCTGGATGGGAGGTGTAAGAAAAGGGGAAAATATTAAGAATAACAGCAAAATATAAGTTTATAGAGCAAAAGAATGCTTTATAATAAAATTTGGAGTTGAGTGTAAACCATGGTGCAATACAAATGGTGGGTTGGTTGTTTTTAGGTGTGTATCATTCAATTATGAATATAAACGCCATTGAGGATTGATATCTGTCTTGTTATCATACTTGAATTTGGTATTTTTAATGAAAAGCCTGTTTTTCCCCCTCAACAATTACAATTATGGAAGCAAGGAATGTGCACGCAGGGGGCTTGATGCGAGAACCAACAGTGCAGCTAGGGAAGCAGTGAGTTACGGGACCATACTGCTACAGCTGACCTGAGATGGTGCTGGAGGGGACATTGTGGTATTGCTTTTAGTACCCTAGAGCTTTAAAGCCTGTCTGCACTTGTTTGGCCAGGGGGAATTAGACCTCCCTGCAAGGTCACTGACAGGTGGTTATCTCATCAAATCAGCTCTCTATTAACTTAAGAAAATCATGGGGGACCAACGGGCACCGATTAGGCATCGTTAGCTATATCGAGGGTAGTGCAGAGGAACTTCAACTTACCTGCTATACAGGCAGTCATGAAGCAGGCTACTGTTCCTGCGATGAGGGCACGGACGGCTACAGCGGCCAGATCCTTGGCCTTGGACGGCGCCATGGGCGTTAGACCGCCAATCTGGATCCCGATGGACCCGATGTTGGCGAAACCACAGAGGGCGTACGTCGCGATTACTTCCGATCGCTCCTGTGAGGGGGAAAAGGAGAGAATGGACAAAATGAATAAATATTCCTAACCTGAACTTCTTCCTGTCTACATTTCTCATCTATTTCTCTTTCAGAACTCTTAAACTTGTTCTGCTTACATGTACAGTCAAACCTGTCTATAGCGACCGCCCAAGGGAAACAAAAAATGTGGTCTTTGTAGACAGGTGGACTTTGAAGACAGGTTCCTTTAGTACATGTTTCAATGAGAAACCATTTTCAAGGAAAACAAAAAAAGTGGTCTTTGAAGACAGGTTTATTTGGTACATGTTTCAACGAGAATCCATTTTCAAGGGAAACAAAAATTGTGGTCTTTGTAGACAGGTGGTCACTAAAGCAGGTTTGACTGTACTTATCTGAGCTCTCTCTCTCTCTCTCTCTCTCTTCCAGATTTGTTTCAAACGTTTTCTGCATTACCTACAGTACTAACCATACTTATTTCTTCCTGCCCTGCAAGTTCATATACCTAAGGCTATGTTAAACAAGTTAAGTTCATACACCTTTAATTATATTCAGTGGAAAGGTTACATGCTTCTTCTTTTCAATGGGATGCCATTCGAACAGAATTCTTACTTAAAAGTGACTGATTCAGTTTGTATATCATTGACATCCAAATTTCATTTCAATTGTATCTGACTTATGGGTCCGTCCAGAAAGTTGGGGCAATTTTTGTGACATACCAGAAGTGAGAGACTGTCTCCTATCAACTGTAACACTGTTTACTCAAATTGAGTTTTGCATAAAAAAGCATAGCCAACTATCTTTAGATTAAGTACTCAAGCTTCATTGTGAATCTATATTATGGACCCAAAGTAGATATGTAATGTTATATGAATATTGTGTCCATGTAAAGCAAAGATTTTGAAGAAAATCAACTGAAGCAGGAACAATTCTGGCAGGGCACTACTACATATATTCATTGCACAAAAATCTTCAACAGACAATTTCATCTTCCATGTGTAGTAGAAGATCTCATACCTACGTTACATGGACACCATCATAATTTTTGCCCCAACATTATGGAATGACCCTTATACCTCTCTCATATGTATGTTATATCCAACTTTATTCATATCTACCTTAACTTATATCTCAGTTACGTCTAGCTTACCGAAAATATCCTGGCACCAGCGGCCCTTTCCTTGAGGATGACGGCGAGCTCGTCGTAGGCTACAAACTCGTTGATGAAGGTCTTGAGCCCGATGAGGGTCGCGACCTGCTCACATTCTGCCCATGGGACCCCCATGATGAAAGCAATGGGCCTGAAGGCGTACCCACAGATCAGCTGCGGGGAGGAAAGCACAGAGAGGAAAAGTTAACAGTTAGTCTGTTATATTTTGTGTGCCATTACTTTATAGAGTCAACCCTGTTTATAGCGACCGCCCAAGGGAAACACAAAAAGTGGTCTTTGGGGACAGAAACCATTTTCAAGGGAAACACGTTGAAAAAGGTGTAGAATCACCAAGAGGGTGTTTCACAAAGATCCTAAGTTGAACTAAACAATTATGGAAAGCCATTAGCATCTTTGAAAATATTTTGTAAAAGTTATTATAAAAGGCATAAAATGTTGATACAAATCATTCATATTTTATGTTATCAAGGAGATTTCATGTTCTTGATGTGGAACTTATGAAAAGTCTAAAATACTTGAATTTTTGCTTTTGAAGATATTTTTTTTAAGGGCTACAAGTGGCTCTCTATAATTTTTAAGACCAACTTTGACTTAGTTTGACTTAGGATCTTTGTGAAACACCCCCCCCCCCCCCCTCCTGGTCTATACATAACCCTACATCTTATATGAAATAAAGATCGGGGTAAATGTAAAATCACCCGGGGCGTTTAAAAAAACTTGTCATCAGTGACAAATGACAGTTTTTGTTATAAGCTACTGAAATCCTTGCTTCTAATTGGTTATCAGCAGATTTGTCATTGAAAAAAGGCTTTGTGAAACAAGTCCCTGGTTGGGACAAGAAAAGTACACTCACCCTGAAGGAGAGTTCACTGTAGCCGACCCTGCCTCCAAGGTACCCCAGGACTCCGTCCAGGAAGGCCACGAGCGCCAAGAAGGTCACCAGGTTGGCGGCGATGTTAAGAACCAGAGGAATGGCCTGGGAGGCACCCTTCGATGCAGCCTCGATGATGTTCCTCTCGTCCCTGAGGGCAGCAGACAGGATAGAAAGGAATTTATGTCTTAGATAGACTAATTGAACTCTTATCAAGTGGCGTAGATATTCATTATTAAATGCTCATGTGAATCACGATAATGATTTTTTTAAAATGATTTTCATCCTTTGTTTTGTTTGATTTGTTCTTCTATGTAATTTTTTGTATACACTTTGTTTTGCTGAATAAATCATAATAAATAAAAATAATGTTTCTACTCTTACCCTTTAGGTAACTTCACGTCTTCTTCCGTAACGGTTCTCGACTTCTCTGTCTCGGGGTACATGAGCTTCGAGACCGCGAGGGCAGCAGGCGCCGACATGACGGAGGCGGAGATCAAATGGGTCGCGCTGATGCCGTTGGCGACGAAGGCACCGAGCACACTCCCAGCGATGGTGGCGAAACCTCCAGTCATGACGGCGTGGATCTCCGAGCGGGTCATTTGAGGGAGGTAGGGACGGATTAGGAGGGGTGCCTCGGTCTGGAGGATGAAGTCATAGAAAATCAATTCAAAGTTAGTATTTAGTCATATTGACGCAAGGAACAAAATACACGGGGGCTTGGGGCAAATTTGCCCCCAAAATGCCAAAAAGAGCCCCGCCAAAATGGCATAGAGTTCATTGCAAAGCGAATTAAAGTGTTATTTCATGCAAGCAAGCTTGAAAAGTAGCCCTCAAAATTGTTTCAATGTATTAAGTCATATTGACGATATGGAAGTAAAAAAGGGAAATCAACCGTTAAATTGGAATCATGAAATAAACAAAGATGGTAAAAGAAACTAAGAGAAGCGAGAAACAAGGACATTTTTAGCCAAACTTTCAAAGTTTATTGTTGCGTTTATAAATACCAAAGTTCTAATCAAGTTTCACAGAGCTCTTTTAGAACTTTCCAGAGCTAAGTCACTCATGGGCACCACATTTTTTTTGCTAAATACTAAACTTACCTGTCCGATGAAGATGTTTCCAGCTGCGTTGAGGGACTCTGAGGCGGACGTCTTCATGGTGCGCTGCATGATCCAGGCGATCTTCTTGACGACGACCTGCATGACACCGAGGTAGTAGAGGATGGAGATGGCGCTGCTGAAGTAGATCACGATCGGCAACACCTGTCAAAGAGAGATGGTGTATATAATGATTACAATTGATATACAGTCAGAGGGAGATGGTGAAAATAATGATTAAAATTGAAATACAGTCTGAGGGAGATGGTGCACATAATGATTAAAATTGATATACAGTCTGAGGGAGATGGTGCACATAATGATTAAAATTGAAATACAGTCAGAGGGAGATGGTGCACATAATGATTACAATTGAAATACAGTCAGAGGGAGATGGTGCACATAATGATTAAAATTTGAATACAGTCAGAGGGAGATGGTGCACATAATGATTAAAATTCGAATACATTCAGAGGGAGATGGTGCATATAATGATTACAATTGAAATACAGTCAGAGGGAGATGGTGCACATAATGATTAAAATTCGAATACTTTCAGAGGGAGATGGTGCACATAATGATTAAAATTCAAACACAGTCAGAGTGATCGAGGGAGACACTATGGCCTTTTTTATTGATCGATCAACATTACCAACAAGAACAAAAAGTGAAAAGAAAATCAATCGCTGCCGGCTCTACTGTATCAGACTGTGACGAGCACATTTCATTCGGCAGCGATGTAACATAAAACTTCCACTTTTTTAAAAGAAAGGTTTCACTTACCGCAAAGGCGAAGAAATGTTGGTAGTAGAGATCTCCGAAGAGGAAAATGGAACCGGCTGTGGAGTAGCTGAGGAAGGTCTGGACCAGGTTACCCATCCAGTTGAAGATGGCGAAGCCGATGCTGGTCCTGAGGATGAACAGCCCCAGAAGGAACTGAAGGGCCAACCCCCAGATCACAGGCCGCCATTTCACCTGTAGGGTCAGAGGGCAAAGATCAAACATGAGTTGATTTTTCAATCATTTTCGCACTAAGAAAAAATGCCTCCAATCAGACATTCATCTGTCTTACAAAATTTCCTTTCCATATAGAGGGTAGAAAATACACAAATAATACACAGCAGTGAGGGCATTACTAAGAATTACCCACACAAGGTACCTTTGGAACAGTCTAACACGCCCAAGGCGGTAGCCAAGGGTGTTTGGACTGTCTTGAAGGTACAGAGTGTGGGCAATTTTACTAATGCCCCAACAAAATGATGTGTATTATTTGTTATTATGATTTATTTGTTTTATAAAATGGTGTTTTATAACATTATTTTTAATAACGACCAGTCATTAGCATTTGAATATGACCAGTCATTATCAAAATTTTGGCAAAATAAATAATGCCTGGTCATGTGTACGCTCTCAACCAATCATTTCAATAGGATCCACGTCATCATCTTATAACACAAAATAACTCACATGTCTAGGATGCTTGGAGCAGATGAAAGAGAATAAGATGAAGATGACCAGGCCGGAGAAGGAGATGAGCTGATCGGGGTTGTCACGGGTCAGGAAGTAGAGGATGACCGCCAGGCCAGCGATGAGAACAAGGAAGAAAGGCCTGAGGAAAAACAAGAGGACATATTGATACAGTCAAATCGGCTTTAACGACCTGTATAGACTAGAAAGATCACTGGTTTTCTTTCCCATGTAACAGTTTCACATTGAAACATGTATTTTAAGTTCACCTGTTTATAAAGACCATTCTATGTGGGTTTCTTTGGGGCAGTCTTTCTACACCGGTTTCACTGTAAAAGTTAGTAGAAAGTTTAATTTTCAAGTGCCTTTTCCCAAGTATACAGATTACTTTCCACTGAACATTTAAGTTATTACCCAGCTATAGCCAACCTTTCATGGCGATCAAACATTCAAGATTTGTTTTGCTTCCAAGTACCAGGTACTCATTTATGTTACTTCACTTGGGTTGAGAGATTAGGTCAAGATTAATACCTTGCCCCAGGTCATAAGAGCTGTGGCAGGGATTCAATGATCATGAAAGAGAATTATGGGACATTTGATCTCAAAATAAAACTAGATGGAATTTTGACTGCGCGCAGTCGAAAATGATGCCTCCGCCATAGAGCAATTTAAACAAGTTTGGAGTTTAAATCTCCAGTGGTTCTTGAGATATCATGATAACAATCTCAATGTATGGAATTTCATAAGTTGACCTCTGTGACCCTTGACCTTTGACCTACGTGCTCCAAAATCTAATCAGATTGTCTTCCTATGGTGATACACACTATCATTAAGTTTGAAGTTTAAATCTCCAGTGGTTCTTGAGATATTATGATAACAATCTCAATGTATGGAATTTCATAAGTTGACCTCTGTGACCCTTGACCTTTGACCTACGTGCTCCAAAATCTACTCAGATCGTCTTCCTATGGTGATACATACTATCCTTAAGTTTGAAGTTTTTACATCTCCAGTGGTTCTTGAGATATCATGATAATAATCTCAATGTATGGAATTTCATAAGTTGACCTCTATGACCCTTGACCTTTGACCTACGTGCTCCAAAATGTAATCAGATTGTTTTCCTATAGTGATACACACTATCACTAAGTTTGAAGTTTAAATCTCCAGTGGTTCTTGAGATATCATGATAACAATCTCAATGTATGGAATTTCATAAGTTGACCTCTGTGACCCTTGACCTTTGACATACGTGCTCCAAAATCTAATCAGATCGTCTTCCTATGGTGATACATACTATCCTTAAGTTTGAAGTTTAAATCTCACATGGTTCTTGAGATATCGCGCTAACAAACTCAATACAAGGAATTTCATAAGTTGACCTTTGTGACCTGTGACCTTTGACCTACGTACTCCAAAATCTAATCAGATCGTCTTCCTATGGTGATAAATACTATTCCCGAGTCTTAAGTTTAAATCTTAAATGGTTCTTGAGATATTGTGATAACGGTCAAACGGGACGGACGTACGGACGGACGGACGGACGGACGGACGGACGTACGGACGGACGGACGTACGGACGGACGGACGTACGGACGGACAACCCGAAAACATGATGCCTCCGGCACCACCTTCGGTGGCGGAGGCATAAAAACAAAATATTTACCATTTGATGTAGCGCCAGCTCTTGTTCATGGCGTTTTCTACGGGTTTGATGGCAGCCTCATAGATCTGCTGACCCCAGAGGTTCTGGACGACGTTGTACACGTACAGCACGATCGCAATTCCTGTGATGACGAGCAGGGTTGTAGCGCCCTCTAAGTCGTAGATGCACGAGAAGACGAGGTAGATCAGGTAGAGGACGAGAGCCACGACGCCAAAGGCGTAGTGGAAGTACTTCTTGTGGTCGCCGTAGAACTCCTTGACGACATCGAAAACGCCGTCCAGGTGCTGGAGAATAAAGAGAAGGCAGGAAAGGGGACTTAGCATCAAGCTAACGACTTGGCATTCAGCATCAAGTTTATGGCTGCCTATATCTACTTAGTAAAGATATATTTGCTAATAGCTTATGAATCATTATTTGCCAACCATGCCAACTTAAGCCTAATATTTGCACATGTAGGTTATAAACTTGCTTGTTGCAGTGTTATTGTATTAAATATATGTACATCGATCAAAATCCTTGTTAAAATTACAAATTGATTTATACATTTAATGTAAACTTATGATGCAGGGAGTGAAGAAATATATTTGTAAAGTGCTTAGAGATTACCAATATTAACTCGAAATAGTATTATTATTATTATTCATATCGTCATTTGGACACTTACAGTCCAGCATTGTCCGACATTTTGGCCCTTCCCTTCCTCTGGTATATCGAGAGTGTTGTTGAGCGTATCGTCAACATCGTAGCCAGGTTTTCTTGGGGTACTTGCGGGTAGGGTATCCTTCAACTCAATGTCGTTGTACTCATCACTCTGTAGAGATAGAAAGACAAACAGAAATTCAATGCGTTGTTAATTTGTTCGGGAAAAGCAAGATGAGATACAAATCGTAAAACTTTAGGCTAGATGAGGAAATTCCTGTTGTACTCATCGCTCTGTGGAGATGAAAAGATGGACAGAAAATCAATGCGTTGTTACTTTGTTCGGGAAAAGCAAGATGAGATACAAATCGTAAAACTTTAGGCTAGATGAGGAAATTCCTGTTGTACTCATCGCTCTGTGGAGATGAAAAGATGGACAGAAATTCAATGCGTTGTTAATTTGTTCAGGAAAAGCAAGATGAGATCATAAACTTTAGGCTAGATGAGAGAGTTCCTTGAGCATGACATCCGTTTATCAATTGGGGCTTTTCGATTGTCACGTCGACGTAGTGAACTGCGACATGGTGACATTACCATCTGCGAAAGTGGCACGTTGTCTACCTTGTCCCACTACCAGAATCAAAACGTTATGAATATCGCGTAATTCATGCTTTCAACGTGAACACACCCACACACACAAAAAAAAGCTCACAGATTTTAATCCTCCAGAATCACTCCTGGGCCCCTTTGGCAACTACCATGGTAACAGGGCTCAACAGCCAATCAAAAATCAAGGTTTTCATGGTAGTTACCATTGATGGCAAAGTTATTATCAATGGTAAGTTATGTGGAACTTAGCCCTGGGAATAAATAAAAGTAAGCCCTTGCACAGTCACACCGGGTCATGCGTGACTGCATGTATTATTCCATATAATTCGGTGTGACTTACAAAGGGTAACAGATCCCTGGAGAACAGATTGGTTGGAATTTGAAAATATCACCAGGCTTTGGTATTCTCTATTGTTAAAGAGGCAAAAGAGCATTAGTTCTGCATCAATTGATTTCATTCAACAACATCCACGCACTTACATGTCGCAGATAACACCAAACATACAACTTGTTTTGATGATTACAACAAAAGACAATTCTCCTGCGACGGTGCTACCTACTTTCTGGCTGTTAAAGGGATCGTTTAACATTGTTAAATCTGAGATACACGGTCCTACATGTTACCAATGTCTGTGAGATGGTGTAATATTGAAGCCCTAAAAAAATCGCGCTTCAAAATGATCAAGAAATGCCTCAAAAAAAGTAAAAATCTTTGAGTGACCGGTTTTACCACACTCATTTCCCCAATAGACTGTAGTGTTATGAAAACCATTCGGCGAACGGTTTTCAAAATTTGTAATTCCAATCATTAATATCTTGATAATCAGACAGGCGATCGGCTTGTAAAAGTTATGGAGTTCCTGACTGACATAAAGGTTTATAATTATCATTGCAGCATGAGCTAAATCAAGGATTATTTTTAAAGGTTCTAAGACAAAGTTACCGGAACCCTTTCAACGACCCGTACACTGCAGCAGTGCAGCTACAGGTGTACAGTGTAGATGTCCTTGTTTAACTTTAACCGCGGAATGCTCTTTTCGTTTTGTTACCGCTTCTTGGCGGAGAACAATACGTCCATGTATCCGTGCAGTGGTGCACCCTTTTTAATTGTTCATTCACCTACAGGCTTACTACATTGTACAAGTGTGCACTTTGACTGAAGAGGAGGGGATTTTGTCAAAATCACATTTTTTTTAAAGGTAAAGACCAGTATTGGAAACGCCCCAATTTCAAAAAATGAAATGGAAGCTCTCATTGCCAATCATGTGAAAGAATATGTTTTGACTAATACATGATAAAAAATTTGCCGGGAAACCGCCAACTAATTGATATATTTGGTAAATTTATTTCTTTCATGGTCTGTGAGAGATATAGGGTAGTTCCATATACATCTTTCTGTGTATAGTGCTTGTAACTTTACGAAGAATGGGCCAAATTTCTTATCATTTTGATGATTCCAGAACCTTGCAGGTGCTAGATGCTAGATGATCAACCTTTTCTGATCGATTCCACGTTTCTTTCACAATGCAATCGCATGACCATAACTGGTCTTTACCTTTAAACATAGGAAATCTGTAAAATGATATTCATGAGCAGAAAGCCAATGCAACGTGAAATGCAGACTATCATTATCAACCGTTATTTTCTTAAATCAGAATCTAAGACGAGTTACATGTACTGTATATACCACAATGTTCTCCCTTAAGGAAATTCTATCATTACAATGAGGGTTAAAATTTAATAACTCAAATCAAGAAACTTGCATGAGTGAATAACTACATTTAAAAAATCCCAAGTCCTCTTCCCCTTTCCCTTCTCTCTCTCTCTCTCATCCCATTTCTTTTTATAAATCCACTATTCCTCTCCCTTTTCCTTCTCTCTCATCCTATCTCGTTTTATAAATCCAGTGATATCCACTAATCTTCTCCCTTTTCCTTCTCTCTCATCCTATCTCATTTTATAAATCCACTAGAATCCGCAAGATGTCCCCTGGGGCGAGTTACATGTAGCCCGGATTCCTCTCATCCTATCTCTTTTTATAAATCCACTATTCGTTAATTCCTCTTCCCTTTTCCTTCTCTCTCTCTCTCTCTCTCTCTCTCTCTCTCATCATACATTGTATCTCTTTATATTAATCCTCTTTCCCTTCTCTCTCTCTCTCTCTCTCTCATCCTACATGTATCTCATTTTATAAATCCACTATTCCTCTCCCTTGTCCTTCTCTATCTCTTTTTATAAATCCCCTTCCCCCCCCCCCCTCCTTTCCTTTTCCTTCTCTCTCTCTCATCCTATCTCTTTGTATTAAATCCCCTTTCCCTTTTCTTTCCTCTCTCTCTCTCATCCTATCTCTTTGTATAAATCCCCTTTCCCTTTTCTTTCCTCTCTCTCTCTCTCTCTCTCTCTCTCTCATCCTATCTCTTTGTATAAATCCCCTTTCCCTTTTCTTTCCTCTCTCTCTCTCTCTCTCATCAATCTCTTTGTATAAATCCCCTTTCCCTTTTCTTTCCTCTCTCTCTCTCTCTCTCTCTCATCAATCTCTTTGTATAAATCCCCTTTCCCTTTTCTTTCCTCTCTCTCTCTCTCTCTCTCTCTCTCATCAATCTCTTTGTATAAATCCCCTTTCCGTTTTCTTTCTTCTCTCTCTCTCTCTCTCTCTCTCTCTGATTTCTTCAGCAACAATATCTCTCTCAGATTTTTCAAATATCCATTAGTAATTGCAAAGCAACATCTTTACAATGTACATCCTTCTACAATACCAATAGCTACATGTAAGAAACACAAGAGGAAAGCATTCTACCATTAACAAGCCTCTCACAAATCCTTCAAACTTTCACCAAATCTCCCAACTTTTCGGACAACGCAAATCCAAAGTCTTACCTTTTTCGTCCCATTACCACTGGTGACCGGTCCCTCGTCAGGAGGACTGAACGCTACATTATCGGTACTCATCTTGAGATCACAACTCTCTCAAAACTTCTCCTAAAGAAACGAAGATGTCTTCAACAAGCTCCCAGTCAAGAGTAACGGATTAGTCCGAAATCAAAGATTAGTCCAAAATCACTGATGGAGCGAGAGATCTGAAGTGTCTTGAACAAGTCAGCCTTGAGAAACTATATGTTCACAACATGTGGTTCGATTTAAATGAAAGTTTGGAATTTCTTCGGTGAAATAGCAGTAACTTCACATCCAGAGGAGACAACAGTAGACCCACATACATGTACAAACTATTTCTGAAGTTGGTGAACTTGCAGAATAGATGCTTTTTCTAAAAAGTTTTGTCAAGATAGGCTTTCCGGTTGAAACTAGACGAAACTAGACAAAACTAGACTAGATCTACAAACTGCACCCAATGAAACAACCAGGTGAATCTGCTATCTCCTGTGTTGTAAACTTGTAATGGTACTGTGTACTGAACTGAACACCAAGCCAAAATAGGGATGGGCGCACCCATTGTACTTGGTAAACTTCTGTCTCCCTGCGTTCTGATTGGCTAGATATCACGGGTGTGTGTTTTGGAAGAGTTAAAGGGGTATTATCTATGTGCGTGGGCTGATTTACCTATCACAATACACATGTGTATTCTGACCCAATTCATTACACAATGAAGCGAACAAGCAACACAATGGGTTGCTTCTGGAATTGGTGTGGTCGTGAAAGGAATACCAAAAGTCCAATTCTATGGAGGAGGATTCCTGAGCTATTACAAAGCTCAAGCCAAGCTATGACTATATGTGGAGTTGTGCTTGGTCATCGGACCATGATGACGCTGGTTGCTTTCTTGTATGGGGTTCGAAAAAGACATTGTGCGGTCAAAATGGATGTCCTTTAATACAACTTTATCTGTAGATACTGTAGGTGTATTATAACATAGTCTACCATTTGAAACAAAATCTGGCTTTAATCAGTGAAACCTGTCTATAAAGACCACCCAATGGAGCCAAGAAAAGTTGTCTTTTAAAGGCAGGTGGTCTTTATGTACTGTACAGGTTCCTTTATTCATGTTTCAATGAGAATCCATTTTCAAGGGAAACAAAAAATGCAGTCTTTGAAGACAGGCGGTCTTGTATAATTCATGACCAAAATGTTTCTTTCAAAATATACAGGGCAAAAACAAAAACCATAAAATGAACAGTTCATGGCACAGGTAGAATTCCACATACAGACTACAGGTATAGTGAATTCAAATATTAGTGACACAAGTTCTCTCCTATAATACAAGTCGCTTGATAGCGCAAGGATAGCATTTTTTATCGCTGTGTTATGTTATCAAATTTAGGCCCAATAATTCAATAAAACAGCTTTGGCTGATTGTCATCCTGTATAAATATTTTTAAATCAATAAATGAGGAAATAAAAAGTCTGTAAACCAAGATTAGATGAAATGGGGGCGTTTCTCTGCTATACATGTAGCAATCATTTTGAAGTCTAGAAACCAGAATAACACTCCATTATCAAACCTTCAAGTACATCCCATAATATTCAACTACGGTATTTGAAAGAGATCAGATCAATCATCGAAGAAATATTGGCATCAATTCAGCCCACGTCGTCTATTTTCTACAATTGCTAGCGGAAAGGAAGCCGAAATGTATGATGTACGCCAGAGTGCACCTCAAAAATGATCATTCAACTTTCCACTAGAAAATATTGCAAAGGCTAGCGGAAAATGAAGCCGAAATGTATGTTTATTGTTTGCTCATGTGCATTCCTTGCCACTAGATAATGTTGCAAGGCCAAAGGCTTCTTTAGAAATGTGATTTTCTACAGAAAAACAACATTATTGCAGCAATGCAAAGATGTTGTCATCCTGCCAAATGTTCAAAAAGTTAAAGGGCAACTTCTGCTCCAGAGTTCTCTTTTTGTTTTTTCAATAAACTAAATAATTAATGTTATACATGTACTACGAATTGAAAATGCTCGTGAGTTGTGACTGCTTTTAAGTACAATTCTTTTCTTTGAAGTTAATTTTGTATCCAAAACTTTGACAAGGAATCCCACAAACCTTTCTCATACCAGTACTTTACATGCCTACATTCTAGTAATACAGGGCAATTCCACGGTAACGGAAGGACACTCAGACAAGATTTTTGAACTTCAGGTTCATACTAAAAGAAATGTTTTATTAGTATGTATTAAACTATGGGGAACAAAATGTGTTTCAGTCAAGTGGAAAGCTTCATCAACTTCACAAAGTTTGGATAAACACTAATTAACTGGAAAAACCATGTCCATTTTTATGTCCTTCCGTTACCGAGATAATTAATACGCACATTCTTAAACTACTTAACTATAATGACAATTTTTTGGGGGAGAATTAAAGGCACTTATATAGGTATTATATCTGTACTGTTTCACATCTTATACTAATAAAACAGTTCTTTTAGTATGAACCTGAAGTTCAAAAATCTTGTCTGAGTGTCCTTCCGTTACCGTGGAATTGCCCTACATGTACATTTACAGCATGTCACTGAATGCACATCACATACACTTACATGTACACACAAGGTCTTGTAATTTTATAGTTGGTTGCATACAATGACAAAAAAGTTCTGTTCAATGAGGCTCTACATTTAACATCTTAAACAGAAAAGTTACTGTACAGGTATACATGGACTGGGCACCTGTATGTACAGTAACTGTAGATGGCGCTAGACCACTCAATGGAAAGGTATGCATTCATTGTTACATGCAATCATTGGGTAGGTGCTGGTACATGTTAGATAACTGATGAAATTGAAAACATGTGTGTGAGGTGTTGATGTGCTTTTTTTCCATCACCTTACAGTAGTTTAGGACAGGAATTATTTAAAGGGTTAAATTGACCACAATTGTTCTTAAAATTGGCAAAAACTTTGTTTTCTTTTACTGCTACATTGCTGTAATAAAATGAAAACAAATACACTGGTACAGTAGTTGTAGGAGCTTGGTTAAAAAGTTTTAAATGGCTGATTATTATGGTAATGTAATGATTTTGAACCTTCAACATTTGCCAATCTAAGGATTTTAAATATCAATTTTCCTTTTTCTTTTTAATTCCTAGGATCAAATAAAATATGGTCATGCTACATTTATGATCGCTGATCACTTGGTTAAAAAAAAAATTGGAGCAGAGATTTTTGTAATCCAAATCCAGGATTCAAATGGAAAGCTCTAAATTTAATGGGCTCTGTAAAAGTGAAAGCCTCCATGAAAAACAGAAAATTAATAATATACTAAGAGAGAAGAGGAATTTTGTATGACAAAATCCAAAAGAGCTTCTAGCAACAAGCATGTATTATAAACAAGGGTTGCCTCTTTAGATTTGTACAGAGTCTGGAAGCATGTAGTATAATGTCTTAAACTAGAGAGGGAGCTAGACTGTTTTTGCTTGGATTCAATGTTTGACATCAACAGCTAGTACATGCGCATTGGATATGGTGCACTGTGAGCAGTGAGACAAATTTTCTCTTGTTTTTTGTTTCTTAATTTGTTTGGAGGAGAGGGGGGTTGTCTTTTTTTCCCCTTCTTCTTGAGATTCTTCTAGATTTCCTGCACAAAGTATGACATTTTTTTCCTTTGAACTGTTGATTTCTATGTATACTTCTAGGTCTACTCTCTTGTTTTTTTAACAGATCTATTTTTCAGGTTACTACTGAAGAATTCTCCAGAAAAGAATCCCTCCCAAGTCCCATGCACTTCATTTAATCATTCCATTACTTTGTTTTTCTGCTTATTATTATTTTTTTTAATTGTTTTACAATCAACAATCAATAATCAACAAATACAACTCAAAGTAAATCATTATGTCTTTCTAAATACTTTCACTTGCAAACAAAATAAACACACGTGTGCGCAGGTATCTTTACATAGAGTACAAATGGAAATGGTTAACCATATTAATTAATCATTAATACATTTTCTGATGGTGAAAAGTGGAGAGATGAGAATTTGCTTCATAAAAATATCTTTCTCTGAGCGTTAGAGTCACAGTGTTATTTTTGTTTTTTGAAATGTATTTCTACAGTGTATGTATCTGTAGACATGTACAACATGTGAATTTGAGCATTACTACATGTACATTTCTATTATGAGAAAATAGTTACATGTAAATGTACTTCAGAATCAGAATGTATTAAAAAATGTATTAAAAGGGTAATTTTATAGATGCCTTGGCTTTAAACAAGTGCAATTTTTAAAAATATTACTTGTTGGTTGGTAGGATTAGTGAAGAATATTGTCTTAGATCTAATACTAATACCAAAATCATTTTATGAGGCAAACTATCGACTCTATCGAGTCCAGACACCACAAACCCAGGGCAGCATTTGGCAACAATAATCAAGTAGACCTACATGTACGACTAATTGCCAAATTATTATATTGAAAAAAGAAGAATGCAAGAAGCAATATTTTCTAAAGTAAATATTTTCCTCTTGTCTTTTTTTTTTTCTTTCTTTGTGAGGCAATTTTTATGTAATATTACTTCCTTACTGTTGACAGACTTAAAATCTGGTCGTTTTTCAAACAAAATGTTTGAATTCCTTTTTTACTTTTTAAAATACATTTTCCTCTTTTTTTTTTTTTACCCGACTGCTTAAAGAAAGCAGGTCACAGGTGTAGGGGGTCTATGCTGTAATGTATGTATTTTATGTAAGCAACCATTCTGTCAGATGGCTCACAAATGACAATTCTTCTCCGAGGGACTTGGTAATTTGGATTAATGCCTTACCGAAGGGCATGGCACTAGCGCATCAACTTGGTTCAAACCCATGATCTCCTGGTCATACATGTACCAATACTAGTCTATTTAAACTAAGCCATTAATTGCCCCTGCTTTTTCGTGTTTTTCAGCAACCAACGTTCACTAGAATCTAGCATTGCTGGACTAAAATAAAAACCTCATTTTGACATTAGACTACCTCAAACATGCAAATCTGTGTTTTGAACTTGAAAGAGGAGGAAGAAGGGCTTTGATTTTAAGCTTCTTTTTTTTTAAAGCTTTGTTATACAGCCAAAAACACCTATGCTGTCGAGAAAGTTCAACGTCAGGCTGCACGTTTTGTCACCAATAATTACGGATGGGACACCAATGTTACCAAGCTACTCAACCAACTCAACTGCTGGGGATCTCTTAAAGACAGAAGGGAAGCACACCGTCTTACCTGCCTCTTCAAATGATCAAGGGACAACTCGACATCCACTACCAATCTCACACCAACCCTAAGCCAGACAGACGTAGACGAGGACACTCCAACCAATTTGAAATTCGCCACACCAACTCGGACGTCTATGCCAACTCATATTTCCCAAGGACTGTAAAGACATGGAACAACCTACAA